AGCGCTCCTTAAGGAACTTTAGGTCTGTCATCTAAGACAGCGAATCCCATAAGGGGAGTGAGTTCCTTCCGTCACTTTTCCTATGTTAGCGTTTTCTGTAATCAAGTTCTTCTCGTCCAAGTTGAAATGCTGTGTCCGCGAACTGTCATTTCGAGAGACTACAACACTTACATTTAGTGCCAAGAATGTCGATGCGCGAAGAAATATACATGCAATCGACGATACGACATGGTCGAATAGAAAGGAAGTGTCTACTTAACTCTCCCACGGACGACCAATGAGAACCAAGCCTTCCACACGCACAGCACGCACTAAGGGTGCCAATATCCCGTCAGTGGCCCCAATTCCATCTCAACTATGTATCTGTCAGCTATCCACCTGTCAACCATACATCCAGTTGATAAGGCTATTGGCGGACACAGTGCTACGAGTATCCCGGCAAACGTATTAGGGCAGCACCGATGGTGACCCCTACAGCTCACATAAGCAGCACCAGCATAGACAATCCGGACGCACAGCACAACCTTTATCAATTCAGCTTCTATCGTTCTTCAGAGTTGGCACGTGCAGTACAAAGATTAGGGCATTCCCCGAAAAGATTCGGACGGCCCCGGAGAAGCGCCCACCGCGATCAAGCAGAGCGCAGACGGTCCCTATACCGACACATGATAAAGGGGAAGTGTGTTCTATCAGGTACTACCGTGTCGAGCTTAACCAGTAATAGAAGGAGGACTAGGAGAGCTTCAATCGTCAATTCCCTAACCGCCAACGCGGCAGATTTCAGGGTTTGCAATGCAGGTATTATCGCTTCATAATTTATCAAGGCTAAGAGGTGTCCTACATCGCGCAGGAAGCACCACATAGATACCGACAGCTTCCTACGTAGCGGTACTGCAATTAGCAATAATTGCAATTGCCATTATTCGGTGTTGTCAATTGGACTAAAGCGTGGTTTCCGTAGACGCGCTGCAATTGCGATAAGTTTGTTCTAGAGTGAAGGCCTGTATAACGTGGTAACTCTATCCTTAACACGGCTGAATAGCATTGCATAGGAGGTTCTCTTACATACAGATAGTTGAGAAGCATATCAGACTTATAAATTACTTCAGGGTTTTACTTAGGCCAGGGGTGGTAGTGAATGAAATTTACCTACCTACCTACTATACCATAAAAGTAAGATTATTGATAGAATGAAAAACTAGCTGAATCATCTTCCTCGGGGGCAGGTTCGACATGTTGTTCTTTGTTTGCGGCATCTCATACGTTGGTTGCACTTTTTTAGCTACAGAAGACATTATTAGGTGGTGGAAAGTTCTCTTTGCATATCCCCAATAGCCCTATTGCCTAAGCTACCAGCATTTAGGGCAAGAGTATAGGGCCGTGGATTTAGATTTACGTAGAATCTTGGAGCATAAGCCAAAATATCATACAGATGCTAAGGTATAAAACCTGGAAGGAACTCTTGCTCGAAGGCCCGCCCGTTTGTGTGCGTTTGAGGGATGCTCGAAGTTCTCGGCTCCGAAACTGTCACAGACCTACTTAGATCGACGCTTTTGCGGATTTTGGCAGAGGTGTAAGTCATTCTTCGCATTAACACTATGATTTATGTGATCGAAGCCCGTGAGGCAGATTGTGCATTCAATAGAACCAGCAACCCTTGCCATTCATTCGGAAATAGACAGTCTAGTTTAAGTATAATATCTGCTTACGTGCTCGTACCGCAAATGAGCTACACTAGTGGTAATCCAGATCTACCCCCAGTCCAATCAACTGCATAGAGAGCCTCTCCGGTTCGGGGATAAATACATGGCACTATAAATTTTGCATTGTTATGGTTTAAGCATTTTAAAGCACTTGGCGCTTTGGCTCAACTTGCAAAGTTTTGGACACGGATCAGACCAATCGTGCTTGGACCTTAATCTGGGCATATTGGATGCTTTCTGAGTAGGTGTTAAATCAAAAGAGCTTAATTGCTCCTAATGTGCACCAAAATCAAGCGGATACTCAACCCACTTCAAAGTCATTTTGTACATGATCTTTTGTCTTTACTATAAAGTCAAACAATATATTATCCTCTCGTTTACATCAGATCCGGATGCATTTAGGTTACCACAATATTTTTTTTTTCTATATTTACTTTGAAGAATATACCAATCTATATCCTATAACTCCACACCCATTGCAAATTTATGAAGGTGACTATCTCACATAGCGTGGGACTAGTTTGAGTATGATATGGCACGTCATACATTTTTCGCCTCCACCATCCCCCGCTTTTCCATCCGTTCCTGTGATTCCAATTCTACCTCTATTCCAACCCCCACATGATCCACATGCTCGTCCTCCGGCCGCCAGAAATCCTTCTTCCCTCGAGCCAGGCGGCACACCCAAGGTGGAAAGAATCCTCCGGAAATGCGCCATGTCCACGGTTCCTTTTCGTCCTTGTTTGGTGGCACGATGCGACCGCTTGTGATCTTTTCAATCAGGCACACAGTCCCGTTCAGCACAATGTAGCTTAGGATGCCTGCAATCAGCCCGTACGCGATGCTGTACGTGAAGGGCATTATTGCAATAGTCAGGAATGCCGGAATAGCATCGCCATAGTACCGCCAGTTGATTTCGGCGGCCGCCTTGCACATCAACGCTCCCACTATCACCAGGGTGCAGCCGGTTGCCCAGGGTGGAATGGATGCGAATATGGGCGCGAAAAAGATTGCGACGAAGAAGCAAAGACCTGTTACACAGGAAGTCAGGCCCGTCATGCCGCCTTCGGAGATTCCAGCGCCGCTCTCGATGAAGGCGGATACCGGGGGCGTGCCGAAGAGGGAGCCAATCGAGACGCAAATAGCATCGACCATCTAGATTCGTTAGTTCAGTAAAAGATGTCAGAAATCGAAAAAGAAAACTTACATAAGCTAATGCGCTCCCCTCAAAATCTTGCGTGCCCTCATCAAGCGCCCCGGCGAACCGCGCCATAGAGTACAGCGTACCAGTGGTATCGAGGATATCGACGTACAAGAACGTGATAAAGGCAAGGCCAAACTGGCCCCCGTGTCCTGAGATGCTCCAGTCCTGTGCAGCCAGAGTGTGTGTGATCGGATGGAACGCGACTACCTTCTTGAAGAAGTCAAACATGCTGTCACCAAGCTCCGTATGTGGGAAGTAGGTCACTGGGGTGGGATGAGGCCATGAAATGACCGATACGAGCAGAATGCCAATGATGATAGCGCCTTTGACCCGGTATAGCATTAGACACGCGGTCAATACACCGCCGCAAAAGATACCTATCCACATGGTTGGATTGCGCATTTTTGCACTGTTCGGACATAACCCCGTCGTAGGATCCCGTAGCGTGGACACGCACCCAGCTAGCTCCATGGGGGTGTCCACCGCCCCCGTCACCAGCCCAATGCCAGCATTGTAGGTCAGCCCAATGTGAGTCAGATATAGCCCAATGCCTGTGCCAGTGGCTAGCTTGATGGACGCAGGCAGGGCGCGGGCCAGCCACTGCCGGATTCCGAGCAGGGTCAGCCCCAGGAACACAAAGCCCTCGACAAAGACAGCAGTCAAGGCGACTCTGTAGGGGATCATGCCAGAACCATGGTATCCGACCACAGTATAAGCGAAGTAGGCGTTCAGTCCCATGCCTGGGGCTAATGCAGCGGGTAAGTTGGCTAGCAAACCCATGAAGAAGGTCCCAAGAGCGGCAATGGCAGCGGTGGCGGTCACAATATCGCGGTTAACCTCCTGCACGCATAGCAAGTATGCAGTGTTGGAATTGCAAAGGTCGGCCTGGCTCTCAGGAGGACAAATGCAGGTGCCACCCGAATCGGAGGTGATAGTAGCGTTAACGCTGATGATGTAGGCCATTGCAAAGAAAGTGGCCAGGCGGGCGCGGATCTCCGTGAAGAAGAAGCTGCCTTGCGCTCGCGCGGCTTCTTTGGTCAGTTTGATCTGGCAAGCCCCCGTACAGTAGAATAGGAATACGAACATGACCCGAGTTTTCTAGAAGGAACCAACGCCCGATTGGGCTACGAGCCACCCAGAGATTTGTATTATGCACCCAGTCGTACATGATGAATTATCCAAAGGCTGAAGGAGGAATCTTAATCCACTGAAACACCACCCTGGAGATGGAAAGTACCGCGGGTTTATCCATGAACACTATCCAAGTCCTTATCAGCTTGACGAGAGAGTCCACCGGAAGCAAAATCACTGATAAACTGTTCACGAATGGAAGCGGACCGTGGTTGCCACTGATGTCTACAAGAGGCGGATGTCGCCTATGCCGCTTCGTCTTATCTGCTAACTGCTTGGCGGGCGTTTTCGATCACTTGGCATGAGAAGAACCTTACCTGAAGCTCTACCAATTTGGCAGAGCTCTAAGACTGATCAGCCCCTATAGACCCCGATAAGGCGTCAAACTCGTCTAAACCTGATACAATGCCGTAAGTTAATGAAAGAATAATGCTTTCGGTTGTGGGTAGCTTGGAGATATCCCAAGGGAAAACCGAGGTAAATCAAATCACGACCACTAAAGCTGACGTGTCGCGGTTTTACATGGTTTAATCGGTGCTACTATCTCAAAATCTCTGGGCTGCTCAATAAGTGATAAAAGCTAATCCGTAAATGCTTGCGGTCGTGATGCTCCAGACAGTTCACCGGAAGATAACGACACATCAAATTATAATGGCAGCGATATATCCTGAAATACAATTAGGCTATCATCGGAAGTCGCCGATCTTTAGAGCCTCGCGATCAGCTTCGGGAAACCGAGAAGCAGACGAAGATCATGTACGGCCGTATGGGTGGGTGCATCGGGATAATCTAACTTTCTTTATCAGACTGCGCACCGCCAAGACAAATAATGATAATCGGGCGGTACCGATGATAAGCGCCAGGCAGTCAATCTACACAACAAAGAAGGCACTGTCATTGAAGGCAACCAGCACTATAAATGCTCGTGAACCCCCGGATTGAACATCCAGGATTTCTCAGCCATGCAATCACACATTCCAAATGCCTTCCGCGCCATTGTGGGCGCGGTTACCCTTGCACTCCTCACTGCAGCAAACCCGGTGGCACTCGAAAGTGGCTCATGCCCGCGTGCGACAACTGTCATCGCCACGACCACGATCGCTGCTACGGCTTCTCCAACCGCAGCTTCGTCTCTGGTGACTGCAACCCCAGGTACTCCAGTATCCCCAAAAATTCTTCTCATCGCGAATGAGTTCGAGTTGGATTATCTCGAGGAGTACAATTTTACCACCCAATACACCGGGGACTTGTTTGAACAGGTCTTCGCCTGCACCGCCGACGGCACGATCTGCAAACTTGCCTGCGGTCAAGAGCTAGTCTCCGCATCTCAGATCACCTCCCTTCTGTTGATTTCTGGGGTCGATCTCACCAAAACCTACGTCATTATCTCTGGTACTGGGGGGGTAAATCCCAAATACGGTACTGCTGGAGGAGCTGCTATCAGTACGTTTGGAATCCAATGGGAATGGGGCGACATGTTTCTCGGATCCGATCTGCCGGCCAATTTCTCGGGACAATACTTCTCTTCATATGCGCAAGACGCGCCCTACAAATACCCTTCCACCGTTGGAACAGAGGTGTACAAGCTTAATGAGGCTCTTGTCGATCGATTCTACAGTATCGGCAGCACGGTCACATATGAAGATGTCCCCGAAGCTTCACAAGAGCTCAGGGCCACCTATATTCATGATGCAGCAAAACAGGCTCCCTTCCTAGCAAGATGTGACACTGTTTCTGCACAGGCGTATTGGCATGGAGATGTGGCGGGGGAGAATGTTGAATACTACGCCAATGTCATTACAACCGGGAAAGCCCGCCCTTGTAACACCAATCAGGATGATACGGGAAGGCTTGTAGCTTTGTTTTTGGGCGCGGTCCATGAGAAGATCGACTTTAGCAGAGTTGCAATTATCAAGGCTTTCAGCAATTTTGATCGGCCTCCCCCACAGTTGACGGCTTATCAATCTCGCTTTTCTGTCGGAGAAGGTGCAACTGAGCCTGGCCTCAGAAACTCATGGAAAACAATTGTGGCAGTTGTGAATGATGTGTTGGAGAACTGGGAGACGATCTTCGAGGCCGGTATCAAGCCGAACACATATATGGGCGATCTAAAGGAGAGATTGGGTGGATCCTCGGACTTTGGAACAACAGCCGGGGCTGCTCCTGGGTCGGTGCAAGGTGCCTAGGTATCGTATGCTCATGAACTTGACCAGCAATCCTACCCCTATCAGGTCGGTGAAATGCATTTCATGTTCTATTTAGGATTACTGCTTAACTATAGAAGAGAAATGTGGCATGGTGTGCAATTTAGTTAGTTGTATGGACTCATGTTTCCATCTTCGTGGTACCTACACAGAGCATGCATGCTACTCATATCTCATGAATTTCGGTTTTCAGTTACGAGCTTTCCTTTCTTGTAATGATGCAGATATGTACCCTCTGATACCCTATCTTTATTGATGACCCTACAGGAGAGTTGTGTGGTGTATTGCTGACTGGTATCGACCTATCTGGTCTATTAGACACGATTACGGGTAAGCATATCCGCCTCGTTACAGTATTCGGTGCAGGTTAGCGGTGGGGTCCACCACGGCCTACATCAACCGGCTCTAGGCTCCTTGGTCATTTTCTTATATTTTAGTGGACTATCGAAAGTCAAGAGGTATACGACGGCCTTCCGGACGATTAGAGACTTAAGGTTAGTCCTAACGGATAGACCCCTAACGAAATTAGACTTTAGTGGCTTCAAAAGCTCTTTATTCCGTCTACTTCTTTGCGTACGAAGGGGAAGTATAGACTTTTAATACTCGATGGCCATAGAAGTTATTTAACCCCGAAATTCGACGAAATTTGCGAGAAAAACGATATTATCGCAATTTGTATGCCTCCTTACTCGTCTCACCTTTTATAGCCTCTTAATATCGGCTATTTTGCGGTGTTAAAGCGTGGTTACGCTCGGCTATCGAATCGAAAACGCGTGCTAGAATCAACTATATTGATAAGCTAGACTTCCTTAATGTAAAGAAAAGGGGTCTAGTATTTGCAGGATAGAGCCTGTCAACTAGGTAAGACGAAGATGCCTGGGAAACAAGTAGTATATTGGAGGAATACAGAGACTGATTCTTGGAGAACCTCTAGGTTCTCCTGGAGTGCACTATTTAACATAGGGGATCAGCGTTACGGTGAGGAAACGCTGACGTGTCGACACCTATATAATGTTGATCCTCTGGCAGTGCGAGAGATCTGTGTATGCTTCCTAAGGACTCCGTTACAATTATCCCCCCGTCCAGTACGGGTGTCCGCACCCGTGGTGAAGTCTGCAGAGCGTAGCCTATTAAAAACCTAGTGGGAAAAGGTAGCTAGTTCTTACAAGGGAAATAGTAATTGCGTAAAGACGGTAAGGCGATAGGGAAACGATAGTGTAAGGAAGGATAGTTATAGGTAGGATGATTAGGGCCTAAGGCAGGAATTTGATAGGGCTAGAAAACCTCATGATTTCCCAGTTAGGGTGCTGGGGGTTTTGTTAGCATAGGTGGTGTGCTTTATTATAGTAAACAAAGCGTCTTTTGACATAGTGAAACTACGTGAAACAAAGCATATTTGTTGCTATTTTTGTTTGTTTAGGTTGCAGGGCTTTGTTGTGATTTCACCCCCATAGGTATAAATCCTCTGTTATTTACCTTTTAGTTTTCCTTTTCCCTCATTATTTTCCACAATAGCGACACGTTCTCACGTCGCTATCGTTTCTCTAGGGTTTCTCTAGATTCTAGCTATCATATCTTTAGGTAGGTGTGATGACCATCCCTATATCTGAGTCTAACGACACATTACTAATCCGCTATTATTTTGCCGTCGTTTTAGTAGCGATCCAACTACTACACGCTAATCATTATGCCTCCCCGCGGAATAGGTCGTGGTCGTGGCCGTGGTCGTGGTCGCGGTCGTGGCAAGGCCCCGGTAGCGCCAGCTCCTCCTAGTCGTTCGCCCACTCCATCTAAGGTTGAGAGTGTGATTTCTAGCTCGGACGATAAGCAGGAGGAAACCTCTAGTGCACCTAAATTCTCGCTAGCAGCACGCTCGGTGATCACTAGTTCCGAGACTCCTACTCCCAGCACTCCCACTCCTAGTGGACCCACTTCTCTTGCTAGTCTCCGCCGTGCCCTTACCGGTGGAGTTAGGAAGAAGAACCGCCCCCTTCGCCCTATTGCCTATCTCTAATATATAGCGTGGTGCATACACTATTTCCGGACCTTCTTAGAGAACTAGGACACTAGTGGACCACTAGTGATCCCCTACTAGGACGACGGCTTATCGTCGAAGAGATACCGTTAGTGCGCTAGTCGCAACAAGAATTGCGAGCCTATAAGTGTTCCTAATAAGCATAGTGTTATAATAGCGGCTAACCAGCGTTTCCCTATAGGTAAACGAGGGTATCCTCGGTGATGCGATACGTCTCTAGTGCATTCTTAACTAGGCCAAGTCTTTCTAGGACAATAAGGACGATAACGAGGTTTTCGATTTAGACAGTGCTATTTTTAGTAATCTAATTTAGGCTATTTAGGCCTTGCTTACCGGTTTTAACGTTCTCTTAGATAGACACCGTAAGTAGTTCGGTATTGCTTTAGATAAGAAGCTAGCGAAGGTACGGTGTTCTATTATTATTTCTCTAGCGTTTTACTAACTATTCGGTAGGATATCGCTAAGTCCTACGAAGCAGTTATCCACAACTATCGTGGATTGCTCTAGCCAATCCCTATCACTATTAGTATATCGTCGCTTCGCCGTCTCGTCGCTAAAGCTTCGACTTACCCCGGTGCACGTCTTTTAGATAATAGTTACCATGCTTAGGCTTTTGCTATACGAACTTTTCGTTCCGCTACTATTAAGATTGTGGCTAGCTAGGAGAAGTACTATAACCTCTCTAATCCCTAGTATAACTAGCTTAAGGTAGATATAGTCAAGGATTTCCCCGTTAAGGACTATCTCGTCTAGTTATTGGGTTGCTAGTATTTCGTTAGCTTATAGGAGGTTCTTTTGACATTTCAAGGATAATTTTTATGCTTTCTTAGTTTTCTATAGAGATAGCGGGTAGCTAGGGTGAGCTAGTCATCTCGCTATATTTTCGCTAGTGTTTTATGGTCGGATCGATATTTTCTAGGGTGATCTCAATCAATTCGACCTTTTCTTTTGCTTCTAGAACTTTGCGATAATACCTCTAGCATTCCCTATATCCGAGAGTAGTACCTATTAATTGTACTCGGAGGGCTATCCTTTCTATTTAACTAAGTAGTGTAGTTTATCCTAAAACTTCTTTTCACCCCGGACCTCCTTAACCTCCCACTTATTATCGTCTTCTAGCTCTAGTATAGGTAGGGTTTCACTATCGTTTCGCTAATACTATTCTTAGAGTAAAGAGATAGGGAAGACATTATATAGACGAGAGTATTGCTTAGGTAATACTAGCCGGTACGCCTACTTTCTAACTTTATCAAGGATCCGGAAAGGTCTAATAAAGTTAGGGGCAAGTTTTCTTAATAGGTTCTTTATTCGGAGATTGCGGGTTAACAGTGTAACTAATTGTCCCCTTCGGAACTATATAGGTTTATAGCGTTTATTATAGTGTTTCGCCTACGATTCGCTTACTTTTCGCTATACTTCTTAAAGCCTTTCTCATAGCTTTTATAACTTTTCTAGTCGTGCTATAGTTGCTAGGACTTCCTCCCTAAAAGCGCCGTCCTCAGCGCGCAATTAGAAGTTTGGATTATAACCGTAAAGTGCTTTAAAAGGTATAAACCCTATAGTTAAGTTTATAGCATTATTAGTGGCAAATTAGGCTGTCGGGAGGAGAGCTAGCCAATTGGTCTATTCCGTATTAATAAAGCATCGAAGGTAGCTCTTAAGTACTTAGATTATCCTTTCTATTTAACCGTCGGTTTGCGGGTAAAACGCTATCGAAAATCTTAATTTAATATAGCTTTAGTAGCAGAGTTTAGACTAGAATTTACTAGTAAAGACTAATCCTTAGTCTAAAACTATGCTATTTAGCGGGCTAAATCAGAGTTCGATTTCTTAATAAAATAATTCAGCTAGTTATATAGTATCAATTGTGGATAAAACAGGTAGGAAGACGGCGTATTTTAAGAATCTATCCACGATAACTAAGATCGCGTCGACAGTGTTGTCCTTAAAAATTGTCTATGGCAAGTGGGTGATAAAGTCTATTGCTAGATCACTAAAGGGTCGCTAGGGAATCGGTAGCGACTATAGCTCGCTATAAGATCGATACCTTAGCGTGGCTACCCCTTAGCATACTACGCATTCTTTAACGTATTAGGCGACGTCCTTTTATAAGTTAACCTAATGGAATTTACGTTTTAGTAACTTAGTGGTGCGAGTTCGACTGAAATATCCTATAAGGGGATCATCGTGATAGGTTTTTAGCAGTTTCTAACGTAGGCTATTTCTCGTAGGGATATATAACCTATCTTGGTATCTAAGGAGGCCTTTATAGTCGACTAGCTATCCCTAGTTCCCGCGCTTTTTTAGCTTAACGTCGGTAATACGACGGCGGGTCTCTAGGTCTTCGCCCTATTCTTGCCCAATCTAGGACTTTAAATCAGCTATAGAGTTCAATTCCTAAACTAACTAACCCGTGGTCCCACGCTTAGCTTGTGAGACTCCGACGTTTCCACGCCTTACCTCTAAGACTCCGACGATTCGACGCCTTACCTCTAGGTCTTCGCCCTATATTCGCCTAATTAGGGCTTTCAATTCTATCGTAGCGTCTAACCCGTAGACTTGCTTAACCACGTAGGCGCGATCTACCTCCCGTCGGGTGACTACGCTATCATCCCGCACGGTTTGTCCTATCATAGTGCCCTATAGGGCCGAGACCAAGTAGTAGGGACTAACGACTTTTTCACAGGACGCACAATAGCGGTACGCTAGATAGCGTAGAGGTACTCGACGGTATAGAGAAGCTCGACGGCGATTCTCTCCCTTAATAAACGCTCGACGGCGTATAAGCACTCGACGGTGCAGAGATACTCGGCGGCTATCTCTTTTTCTATTAAGCTCCGGCGTCCTAGACTCTTCTTTTTCATTTTTAATAGCGACTTACTATAGACGCACCTCCGGATCGCTAGCGAAACGCTCTTAGATCGGGGTCGTAAGCTTAGCTATAGGCGCGACCTAGCTAGCATTCGGCTTTCTTAATAAGCTATCCGCGGGATTGTTCTTCCCGGCGCGATACTTTATAGTGAACTCGAACGGAGTCAAAAATATAAGCTATCTTGCCTATCTACCGTTTAGCTTAGGCTACTTCATAAATATCTAGAGATTAGCATAATCTAATAGCACCTTAACGGGATACTTACTACCCTCTAGGTAGTGTCTCTATTGTTTAAACGAGTAAACGATAGCGAAAAGCTCTTAATCTAGTGTCGTATAACGGAGCTCCGCGCCAATAAATTTCTTTAACTAGTACGCCACAGGGTGCCATATCCCACTAGCGTCTAGCTACGATAGGATTCTAGCTATCCTAAGGTTTAATATATTAGGTTCGATACGGATCCGTTTTTGTGGATCAAAATACTAGAGTACTAGGGCGTCTTAGAATATATTGAGAAGCCGGTAAAACGCTTACGTTTCTTCGTCGGAGAGTAAGATATTACTAGGCTTCTTACTATTCTTGCTTCCTCAAAGTAGGGAGGTTAGAGGTAATACAATTAGGCTATACCCTTAGATAAACCGTCGATAAAAGTTGCAGAATCCTAGGAACACTTAGATCTCATAGTAGCTTTTTAGGATTTCCTATAAAGCGATAGCATCGACGCGTTATTTATCCATTAATATACTATCCCTAGATACCACAAATCCTAGGAATTTAACCTAGTCTTAGTAGAAGGTGCATTTTGTAGGTTTCGCGTATAGCTATACCTATCATAACCTCTATAGCACTTAGTAGATATACTTTGTGTGGGTCTCGCGGTCCGGCGAGAAGATTAGGATATTATCGAGATACGCCATATAAACGACGTCGAGAAGCCCCCTTAACGCCGTGTAAATATAATTCTAAAAAGTGGCTAGTGCATTCGTGAGACCAAACAGCATAACTATATACTCAAAATAGCTATAGCGAGTACGAAAGGCTATTTTCCACTCTTCTCCTTCACGGATCCTAATCTAGTAGTACGCGTCTTATATATCAATTTTGCTAAAGAACTACGCGCTAGCGAGTCAATCTAGGATCTCTAAAATAAGAGGAAGAGGATATCAGTTCTTAACTAAGACCTTATTTAGTCCCCGATAGTCTATATAGAGACGTAGACTACCATCCTTCTTTAGAACAAATAGGATAGGGGCCCCTACTAGACTTTTCGAGGGTCGGATCCGACCATTATCAAGGTTTTTATCTAGGTAGGACCGAAGCTCTCGAAGCTCTATCTAAGAAAGAGGGTAAATCGGGCTATACGGCGGCGTTTCACCGTCTTTTAGCTCGATAGTATAATCTATTGCTTTCTAAGGTGGTAGAGTCTTAGCATTCTCGGGAGCGAATACGTCGCGGTATACTAGTAATTCGCTAGATAGCCTATCACGTGAAGCGGGGTCCTCTTAGTCATCTCTAGGAAGCCACACTTCCTTAAGAAGCTTCACCACTACATACACGTACGCGTGGTTCCGGCATTCTTTCACAAATTGGTGTAGGGTGGCTATCGAGTATGACGGCGCGACGTACCACCACTAGCGTTTATATAGCGAAAAGTCGACGTATTTATCACGCATTATTATTATAGAGAGGAGAACTAGGCTTCCTTCGAGGCGAGGGTCTCGATCGATAGCTAGGCAACGCCTTTCGAAAGTGCGAGTAGTCCCTCGTGAGTCCGTTACCGTGATAGGGACTATCCACACTCCATAAGTAGGTGTTGACCGTCGATTAATAGCTAAAATAATAACGCCGGTGAGTGGTGCACGACGGAGTCCGTATTACTAAGCAAATTGATAACTAACGATATCAACCTCGGCTCCGCTATTGAGGTCCGTATACGTTTCGATGTCGCCCTAGACGGTAATTAGGATATATAGACGGCTTATAGTCCTAATCTTATCTTAAGGGGTCGGTGTTCCGGCTTCTACACCGACCCTCTAGCTTTTCCCGAGTGTGCTAGTGTTAATTAGACCTTAGTCGAATTTTAGGGGCACTTATCCCTCTAGTGGTCTATTAACCCGTAGATAAAATAGCTATATAGTTTAGGTAGAGTTATATTATCGTTTCGCTAGCGATTATACGGCTTTACGCCGAATTCACGCCAGTTTAAATATAGTTTAGTATTTAGGTTTCGATCACCACCTCGTCTTTAGAAGCTTCCACGGTTCTATCCTCAGCCCCGACTAGAGTTAGAGCGTAGCCCGTTAAAGCTAGTCCGTTTTCGATATCCCTATTAGTTAGGGGAGTGATATCTTTTATTTATTAAGCGGGGCGGGTAGTTCTTTATTCCCGACTCTATTTAAATAAGGTTCTAATAGTGTATCGCTATCGATACTATCTCGTCCCGATTTTTAGGCAAATAAAGCATAGTATTCTAGATACGCGATCGGAGGCGGAGCTATAATTTAGTGAAGAAGTTAAGCGCCTATTAGTCCTCCGACGGTGCTTCGAAATACCTCTCGAGCGAGATAAGATAAGAGTTAAAGTCACTTAGACTTTGGTTCGGGCCTTAACGGGCCTCTTGCAAGGAGGTAGCAATATCGGCTTATAGTGTGGCCGAATTGTGTAGTAGCGTAAGTGTCTATTTCTCGAATAGTTCCTATATCGTTTTGTAAGCGGTTCGCTAGGGTTCCGCTTTCTCTTCGATATAGTGTCACTATCTCTCGCGGTAGTTAGAGCTTATACGGTTAGTAGCACTAAAGATCTTTCTTTTATCCGATCTATACTTACGGGGTACACCTAAGAATATATCCTAGAGGTCATTAAGCTAGGTTTGGCGTTACTATATATTGTAGTGTACTTTGAAGATCGGAACCTCGACTTTGATTTCTCTAGGAGCTCGTCCTCGTTTAGATAACGTAGAGGAAGAACGTCGATAGCGATCTAACGTCGATTTCTTAGTTATTTAGCTGATCGCTTCCTCGAGTTCCTTCTTTCGGGTAAGCAACGTATAAAGGGTCTTAAGGCGTTCGACCTTAGTGAGGTGCTCGCTAAACTAGGGAGTCCGGCCCTAAGGATTGTTTTCCGGGCTGCTACTTCCATCGTAGATAGTGGCGGGAGGAATAATAGACTCGGTGTTAGTTCGATATAGGTTCGCTAGTGATCCACAAGCCACCGACGATCGGGTAATCATTGTTGCTTTAGGAGGCATCTTCAATCTTAGGTAGTTAAAGAAGAAGAATCAGAATTGTAAAGAAAAGGGGTCTAGTATTTGTAGGATAGAGCCTATCAACTAGGTAAGACAAAGATGCCTAGGAAATAAGTAGTATATTGGAGGAATATAGAGACTGATTCTTAGAGAACCTCTAGGTTCTCCTAGAGTGCACTATTTAACATGGGGGATCAGCGTTACGGTGAGGAAACGCTGACGTGTCGACACCTATATGATGTTGATCCTCTGGCAGTGCGAGAGATCTATGCATGCTTCCTGAGGACTCCGTTACACTTAAAGCCTACCCGTCCGCGCGAATTAAGGCGTTTAAATCGGAGACTATTAAGAATAGCTTTACCGCCGCCGGTTTAGTGCCTTATAGTCCTAATCGAGTGATCTCAAAGCTTAATATTCGCCTTCGAACCCCGACACCCCCCCGGAGCTAGGGAAGCGAGTGGGATCTAAAAACGCCTTTAAACTACGTATAATTACAAAAGTAAGCTTCCTCAATTAAAGCTTTGCTAAAAGCGCGTTCAAAAAGCCTACCGAGCCCGCTTAACTTCGCGATAAATCAGGTTTTAAAGGCCTATCAAATCATAATACAATCGGCAGCTATTCTCTAGAAAGAAGTAGGCGAATTACGCGCTACAAACGAGACGAAGAAGCGAAAAAGGAGTCGGTCTAAAAAGCAAATAGCTTCCGAAGAAGGCCTCTCAGTTTTAGAGGCCTCTACCTTAGTAGCGTAGCCAGAGCAAGCGGTTTTAGCACAAACCCCCCGTGAGGCAGAATCGGCTCCGGCACCTTTACAGCCACGTAAGAGAGCCTTACCAAAGTGCAGTATATATAGAATTCAGGGTCATAAATTGACTACATATCCTAATAGAACTAGTTTTTAGCTTATTGAATTTAATGGCGTTTTGGTTGAGAAAAATGCATTTAAAATAAATAGATATAGGTAGGGTGGCGGCTCGCTTGGGGTGGCGGCTCGCTTGTGAATTACGTTAAGGTTTAACCGCTAATAAATCGCTTACTAATAGACCTACCAGTTTATAAATAGTATATTTGAAATTAGCTGACTTTTCTCTATCGAATAAGCCCCTTATTAAACTCGTAGTATATAAGTCTAGCTAGTTAAGGTGCCTAACGTACTGGCTGCACCCTACTATTCACGTGGCCGCCGTGCACCTAGCCGCCGAGAGTAATACGGGGTGTAAGATACGAATACGGGGTAATCTATTTAGTAAGGGCTGACATAGATAAGGGTAGGTATCTGATTACGGTAATAAATCCCGTCGGTCGCAACGCATGTAAACCTTTCACCTATTTTTGATCATCCACCACACCACCATTATTAGTCTAATCGTTGTCAAACTTTCACAATTCCTAGGTATTATAGTTAAATAGACCGTGTCTAATTTATAGACCGATTAGAGCAATACGTAGCCCATGGTCGTAGAGTCTACGCCGGACCTTTAGTCCTACAACCACCCCCTTCACCAATATTTAATCATCTACCACACCACTATTATTAGTCCGATCATGCTAAGACTTTCACAATGCCTAGATTTAATAGTTAAATAGATCCTGTCCAATTTATAGACTAATCGGAGCAATACGCAGCCCGTGGTCATAGAGTAAACGTTGGACCTTTGGTACTGCAACCCCCCAAAAAGGTACAAAATTCCGTACCCCAAGAAAACATCTCCGATTTTCAATCGCCATTTTCCCGATAACTAGTGGGCTACGCATGCTCCGAAGTGAATCGGAGTTATTTTAGTTAGTCTATTATAACTAGCCAAAATTTAAGAGCAATTAGATGTTATTTCAACCCTGAACCCTTGCGAGGAAATTTACCTGAACCCTTGCGGGACCCACGTTTTATGTACCATTATCTCCCATAGTTAAGGGACCGCCAAGACCTGAACTCTAGTAGAGTTCACCACCCCCCGTGGGATAGGGTCGATGTGCATTGAGCGATGTCAAGTGATAGTCTTACGCATTTATTGGTCGCTGTTGGTACGCAAAGTACATTAGCATGAACGACTCTCAGTCTGGCGCGAAATGATTGGAAATTAAATTTTCAATTATACCGAAACTGGGGATTGGGCGCGTATGATATCACATAACTTTGTCCAGCGAGCTAATCCCCAATTTACCAGTTTCTTCGGACGGCTTTTTATGTAGAAAGGGCCAGTCTTGTCAATTTATCGCTCGGTCCATCGGGACAATGCGGTTCCACTGGCGTGAACAGCATATCTGGGTCGCCTCGACTAACCGTGGTGGCCGGAGGAAGCAGCCAGGTCAGTCGGCCGCTGAGCAGCAAGTTCAGTAATTTACGCAAGTGGTACAGTGTCAACACACAATTACCCAGGGGCCCGGGTCCCATTACATTCGTGTCCGTACGGTCGGAGCATAGGCAGTTCCCGAGCCCGAACCCATTGCCCCGACCGTACCCAGTGATCGGCTATTAGATCAGATCGAACAAGCATATCGGGAAAGCCAAGAACAGCCCCAGCCAATCGACGCTGGCCAGCGGGACGAGGCCATCCATGGCTTCGACGGACCCAGTGGGCCGTGTATCTTCAGGGGATCAATCCGCAAGACATTATTAACAATGTCCAAACACCTGACGCCGAGTCGCTCAAGGCCACTGAGCAGGCTGCATGCGTCATCTGGGACTCGACGGCTACGGTGGCTCGAATTAGCCGGTTAAGTTGTACTTCGAACCGGAGCGGTCCGTACGGAGCGGGATTGGCTACCGCATCAGCCGCTGCAAGCTTATATGGACGTCAAAAACATCGAGAGACATACGCTCCCGTGGCAGCAGATCCTGATGTTTTCATTCGGACGCAGGCCCCGCACGAATTGGCCAGTCTACGATATCGGTTTTCGCAACGCCAGCGGGCGGCTTGGAACTCGCTGTGGCGACTCGGCTAGCCCGGATTTAGTTCATCGCCCAGCCGCGATAGGGCCAGTTCCGACAGTGTCAGTTCGGACGGCAGCGTGTGTTCTGACGAGAGTAATCAGCCGCGAAGAACCAGGGAGTCGAGAGCGAGTCGGGTCCGTAACGGATCCCCGTTCCAGCCAGACCCCATTGATGCCGCGTGTCCCGACTTTTGCATTGAGATTTGGAACCACCGAACCAAGGTCGAAGACTACGAGAGCGCGCTGATTTGCGCCATAGCCGTGCTCGGACGGGGTGAGGCTGGCTGGCGTACTGCGGAGAGCTACCCACCCCTTTTATCCAAGATCATTAAGATCGCCCGGTTTATGGTGGCCCATAAGGCTTTAAAGCTTGGCAGAGGGTATGTTATATCAGCTGACCGAACATCAAATGGCTGGCGAATTGCGACCAGGGGTAAATGACTTCATCATCATGAACTATTTCATTTCTCTCTGGGCGTGGCTTTGCATGAAAAGCAAATGGAACATCTTCAATTCGAACCATCACTGCTATGAAATTGCCCTCAGTAGGTCGATTGGCTCACCGGCTTGCCGGCTTAAACCCGCTCTAGTGCTATAGTCCGGAACCTAACGGTAGCAGATGTCTCGTAGCATGTGTATAATGGTTGTGTTGAGTTATGTGACCCAGTATTTATATAGGTACAGGTCTAACCCTAATGATGAATAGTGCGTATTAGGTGACACGAAAATACCATCAGGATCCAACAGGATGGTGTCCCTATCAATGCCCCCAGATCGTGTGAATGGACCGCATGTACACAGATTAGTGTCTTCGCCTGAGGCCGCACACCATGTCAGTCACTCGATCGACACCGCCTCTATCTGGCTTTCCAGAATTTTCTTGGAATCTTCATTTTTTTTATTTTTTTTTCCTCTTTTGAACATTTTTCATTAAAAGATATGACAAGATCATCCCATGGAAAACACATCCACCACCCAAAGCTATCCACAAAAATATGTTTTTGCCTAAACCCCACCTCAGATCGACGAACCAGACCCCAAACTCCAAGAAATGCTGTGCATGATCCTTCTTCGCTGTTTACATCTTACTGGCCATGGCAATGTACCTTTCTTGAAAAGCATCAACGTTGATGATGTCATTAATCCGAGCGCTAGCCCCACCCGCTCTGCCAGCTGACGCAGACTCCGGTGCTGCCGGCGCTTATAAAATCCAAGAACGACAATGCATCGCAAGGTGAGAGTCGCAAGATAAAATATACACTGTACAGTTCAAATGTCTGATTTCGATTTAGCGAATAAGGTCCAGCATCTGATTATACAACCCGCAGACCTGCGACTGAATCCACCAGAGAGCTATCTCTACGTTCAAGATGGGCTGATTATTTCCTGCGGCTTTCTCTACGTTCTGTGTTATTTATTCTGCACATTCCGCGCATATAAAGACCAGCGAGTCCCTGGATCGAGCTATGGCAGTGTCCAGTATCTGTAATGCCCACCCCCATATTTTAATCGCATCGTATAACACCTACTAACAACCCACCAGATGCCTAACAATGGCCTACGAATTCTTCTACGCCTTCACCACCACATCCACAACCGTAGAGCGAGTAGGCTTTCTCGCCTGGTTCATCCACGACTTTGGCTACGTCGCAGTCATCCTTAAGCACGTCCATCGCGCAGAGCACCGACCCCGACTCATCCGGAACATGCTCATCGGTCTCCTCCTGGGTATAGCCGGCTTGAAATGGTTAACTACCCTCTACCCAGATGATCGCGAACAAGTCACAGCGTACTGGACGGGTATTCTGCTTCAACTTCCCATCGGCTGGGTCTGTTTGCATTCGTTGTATGCGGAGGAGGGGACGAGGGGGCATTCGTTGGAGATGTGGTGGGTTTCACTTTCGTTTTACCACAGCATCAAAGTATAGCTAATAGATGCAGGATAACTCGATATTTAGGCTGCTATCTAGCCTACGGGGTGTTTATCTGGCGATACTTGAATGTGCCCCAGAATTGGGAATATGTTGCCTCGCCATGGAGTATTGCCATTATGGTCTTGACTTTGCTTCCGGAGACGATATATCCGTTTTGCTATGTTTGGGTGTATAAAGTGCAGAAGGTCAAGGGTGAATAGATGAATTTTCGCATTTATATATGACATAACTAGAATCGAGTGGAATACTAAGGCAGCAATACGCACGATTAGACAGCGGCAAATCCGCAAACGCGGATGCCGTTTCCCATCCGCATCCGCAAGATATCCTTGGATGTCTCATTACTATCCACACGAGCATAAATCTCGCTAGTTTACCTCAAGATAGACTCTCATGTGACCCTATCCCACGGGGTGCCTGCAGTCTGGCAGACTGCAGGCTAGGGTTTTCCCTTGACTATGGCAGGAAAAGTGGGTCGTACGCCTGACTGCAAGTGAAATTCGTTGCGTGACTACCAAAGTCTAGAGGCCTCTGATCGGTCTAAAATTTTGGCAAGTTATAATAGAGTATCTCAAATATCTCCTATTTTCATTGGAGCATGCGTAGCCTACTAGTTCTCGAGAAATAGGCGATTGAAAATCGGAGATGTTTTCATGGGGTACGGGAAAATAGGCCTGTTAGGTGTTACGCACGACTAACGGGTCGTCGCTATGTTAGAAGATTCCTAGGTTATATTTGCCTAAATGCTTCCTTGCTTCCAACGTCAACGATCTGTCTCTTAACCGTACCGTCGCGGCTAAGTCTTTTCGAGGGTATCGAGGAGCGATGCTAGGTAGAACGCCGAACTAGCCTATACCGGAGTACGGGTCTATTCGTAGTGTTGTCAAGTTATACTTAAGTTGTACGAGTCACCAAAGGTTCTAAATAGTAGGCATAAGTAATAATAGATAATTTGAACACGAAGGACTAAACTAAGTACATAAATGAGCGTCCTTATATATCCTAAGCCCTCCTATAGTTGAGTAGTAGAAAGTAGAATAGCAGATTTGGCTTAGCAAATTCTACTTATCGACTATCGATATGTCTACAGTAGATCCCACAGAGAAAGACGCCTACACGATCTGGGATGCAATGGCTTCCGTGCCACGTATTAGCTAGTTGATTGTACGAAAACAACTCACACTATTCGCACCGAGGCTGTCCGAACTGAGCGTGAGCGATTGCTACATCAGCCACTGTAGGCTTACATGGATGCTGATAGCATTGAGAGGTATACAGTCCCGTGGCAGCAAATTTTGATGCTTTTCACCTGTGCCAAGGCTACGCATGGATGGGCCAGCATGAATTACCGGTTCTTAAAAGCCAGCTTGTTGCATGGCATAAGCTCTGGATGATGATGTACCCCGAGTCTAATTTAAGCAGTGACTTAGAGGGTCTACCGACGCTTACTCACGAATCGTAAGTAAATTGAGAACCAAACAGAAGCATATCGCAAAATCAATCTTAACTTGCACCATTTGATTTAGGTTCTCTCGCTTTTTGCGTTGACTTTTTCAATTATGGCATCAACGTCAAGAGGACTACGAAGCACGCTATTTTGTACTACAGCGGTGCTCGGTCGGGGTGAGACGGATTCGGCGTATAACGGACAGCTACCCACTAGAGTTATCAAAAATGACTAACAAGGCTCGATTTATGGTGGCTTACAAAGCTTTAGAGCTTGATCCTACGGCGGAGCACATGATCCAGTGGCAAACGAATCAACAAATGACAGACCAATGACATATGGAGAGTCTGCTCGATTCGCCACGTCGGTAATGATTAATGACTTTTATAGTTCTCTACAGCTATCATGGATTGAAGATAGCACTTTCGTGTTCCCATTTGCCTACAGTATGCGGGCGCAGTCCTCTAATGCTCGTGACTCTAATACGGAAATCAGTGTGGTTAGCGACGGCCACTCCCTGGTCGCCGCTGTTCTCGGTCACCCAGCCAGTCCTAGCCGAGTGTAGAGGATCAATAAGAAATTGCACATGGCACGAAGAATGAAAAGATGCTGACACATATTCGCACTATCTAAGCACCTGCGGGCATTCATTTAGCCATTAACTGGTCCGGCAATGCAGCGGCACTGAATCGGCTAATCCTACGTATTAGAAGCTAATTTGGTGAGAGATAACGCATGAACCGGAGAATCGAAAAGAAATTGTGTTAGTCAAAAGCGATAAAAAGTTTGACGATACGGCATTACTTCTATTTATTTTTATGTATATAGATAAATTACTACCAATTTCATAGATTTTGTGGTAGAATAGGAATCATAAATATAACTATGACCAATACAATGTTAAATAACGGTATTTTATCAACATAAGTCATCTATTTTATCCATCCTAATAAGGTAAAGCGCGGGAAATTTATGCATCGGAGGGTCGCTAAGGGTCGCTTGAGGGTGACCCTCAAGCGACTCGCACGACCCGCGGTCCGGGTGAGAGTCGCTGAGGTTGGACCCTAACCCTCTGCGGGTCGGGTCGCGGGTCCAAGAGTTAGACCCGCGGGGCGGATCACAGCCAGGTCTACTACCAACTACCATTAAATAGTCATAGGACTCCTATAGGAATTCCCATAAGAGTCTAGTCCCACCGACCCACTCCTATACGACCAAAATTTAGTCCCATGGGAGTCCCAAGGGAAATGTCAAGGTCTAATTCTAACTCTACCCTTTTCCTCGACGACCACTTTGTCAAATAATATGACATTATACAGTTTATGCATAATGCGGGTAATAGGATGATGCTGGACATGACGTGTGATGATTGTATCAATCCGCTGGTCCGTTTCGGAGTCATCAATACTATGTATGTGTTAGCCTTTGAGGATGTGATAGCAACCTTAGTCCGAAATTGAGTTACCTGCTGGTAGACTCATCCATGATCAGAACTCGCCCCGGGTGACATAAAGCTCGCGGCAGACAGAAAAGAATCTGCCATTTGACTCCGGCCGACGGCTTCTAGATCATCGCTTCTCTACCGTTTTGTTGTTCCCGCTTAGGCTTATTTTCTCAGATGCAAGCGACTGAAAGGCAAACCCAAATAATCTGGTTCGCTTCTTGCCGATATGGCGCTATCCTCTATGTTGGGTAATGCAGGTAATACGAGCTTCTCAATTCCGATGGGCTGACGTAAACTCGATTTGAAAAGCTATCTACGGAGCTCTGAGTTGCTTCTCGCAAAATCCAACTTTCAAATAGGACCTCCTCTTGACACTCGAACAGTACATGGTTCCTCTCGAAAGACAAATGTATGTATATGAGTTCAGGAGACCAGATCGGAGTGGAATATCAGCATTTGCCGAGGGCAGCTATGAATACTTCGTCAGCGTATAACTTTCTCAAGAAGTGAGAGCACACATACCAGCACTACACGCGCTGCTAGTGTAATAGCCGTTGACATAGCAGACACCGCCGCTATAATTGACGCGGTCCCATGTGCTATTTGTTGGTATTTAGCAAACGGGGCAGTGGTGAACTATTTATGTTCAGGTAAACTTACCAGTTGCCCTCGTAGCAATCACCAGATTTGTAGCAATTGAAAGTATAGGTGGTGCCAGGGAAGACATATGCAACGACAGGGTAGCTAGTGCCAGGTCCGCTGCGGCAATTCACCTTATCCGAGCTGGAATTGACAATTTTGCAGCCAATAGAGGAGCGCTTGCTCACTTCATCAAGACTGCGAGGCACCTGTTCAGCAGGAACAGGCTCAGCGGGCTGCGCTTCAGCTGTAGGTACAGCAAGGGCTACCAGAGGCAGGAAAGCTGCAGCAAGAGTGACCTGGAACTTCATTGTGAAGCAATTAGGCTAAAAAGTTAATCCCAAAGATGGAAAGTATCGAAGAAAATATATCTTAAATGTCGTGATGATGGAATATCCAAACGGGAGGGAAATATGGTCATATTTATGTTCGGAGAAATAAAATAGCAGCATGTAACAGCGGCACCTGGAGAGGCAAACCTCGTAAAGGAAATATGAATAGAGTTTAGGGGATGCTCGACTTTTGCAGGGATAAGTTGTGTAGTCGAGAATTGGCAGCGGAAATGTTACCTGAGTAGGCAACGTTGATCTCGTATAGACTGAAGACAAGGATATTCGCGGGATGATAACGTGTTAGGCCTAAAGTACCTCGTATAGAAGTAAAGCGCGGGGAGATATAACTCCGTACATATGTATATGGGTGAAGCGTACCGTACCTAGTGAATGGGGTCGATTTGAAACCAGGGCACAGCGCGTAAACTTGGCTAAACTCAATTAGGTGTTTATCTGAGTATCGTTCAACCGACGACATACTGTTTCTGTGGGTGGGCAATAGGTGGCCATAGATTTTTTTCGAGGATTGAACGAGCACGATGGTGCCCAATATAGTGGCCTCTTCGGAGGCGCAGATTGTTTGTTCGATTAGATTATCAGAAAGGTTCACACTCTACTGTTGAGCTTCGATTCTCGGAATTTGCTCCGTCCAATAATCAGATTTTTCCAATTCATTATTTAGTGCGCATGCCTAGACTTCATAAACACCAGGCCAAGTAACCCCTTTGGTGGAGTTGGGTCAGGCGGAAGCCCGGGGTAAGAGTTTAGTAGACGCTAATGCGCATCGTATTCCGGACGAATTGTTAGCCACAGAGTTACATCTTTGCGGGAAAATAGCTTTACAGTTACATTGAGGTCTGATTCTAGTCATGGATCTGGCGCAACAGGCCGCTCGAGACTTGGAAGAAATTCAGATGCCTTGGCGACATGCCTTGGCCGGTTGTATCTAGTCGCGAGGAATGCAGAGCGATCGCCAATTAGCTGCCCACTAACGAGTATATCAGTCGCAGTACTTTTTTTTCGCGTGATGTAGGAACAGGAATATTGGCAGGAGCAGGTAGACAGCTTCTTGCTAAGGTGGGCAAACATATCCGCCTTGAATGGATGCCCCTTGCGGGTGCTGACTCTTGGCAGCGGGTAGAGTGAGGAGAGAACCAGTGGACGGAAAAGACGCTTGATCGAAGCACCAACAAAACGCTAGAACACTGGTCAGGCGTGCGCAAAGCAACGGCCTCAGTTCCGATGCAAGACCGATATCATTCCAATCGTCTGATTTATGCTCTATATACTCAGGGGACCAATCATAGCGCTAATTGTAGAAACTAAGCCAACCTGAATTGGAGAGCTCTCACAATCTGCGGTTCCCGACATAGAGGATAGCGTCATATGGCAGGAAGTAATAAGGGATGTTTTGGGTTTGTCCGTTCATTTGGTTGCTTCTGAGAAATATACTTCTCGGCTTGTGCTAAGCGGGGGCAAATTCTGATTCCCCCGAGACGCTAAACCATCGACGGCCAGTGTAAACAATAAAATTGGCCCTTCTAGGATTGTTGAGTATCGCGTCGCCTGCTGAAAATTTTAGATTATAAAGAATGAATTCGCGAAACTGCATCGCGTTCATGCCATCGCTTGGTGAGCCGACCGGAGGAGTTCCGGGCATCAGTGTTGGTTGAGGCGAGCTGTGGGAGTTGATCAGTGCAGAGGGTGGCCTGCACGACAGGTTATCTGATGATACACTATCACACGGACAAAGGCTCGCCGACACTGTGGGGGACTCTATGGATGCTGACATCTGGGACATTGATCTTTTCGACAACACAGCCGAAACAGTCACTGATCTGCAGGGCAAGGGCAAGAGAGTAATATGATACTGCTTGAACCCGCGGATGACGTTGGACGTTGTGGAAGAAATTTTGATTTTGTGCACAGGATGGTTTTTTTTGGGAACCATGAAAAGTTGTGATATGCTTTTCATACTGGAATAAGGAGCAACGCTTTGAATATTATTACATTCAATATCTTGTCAGAGTAGTTGATCTAGTGGCAAAGCTGGACTTGCCGCTACCCCAGCCCAGAGGCGCTGACTGAAACGTGTTGAGGGATTTCGAGCGTCTTACCGAGGGTTGTGCATCGTATGGAGTCTAACCGCCAGATCAAACGCTTACAGATCTCAGATTGAATGTGCAAAGCATGCTACTTTTACCAATGCGAGATTCAGGTGCAGTAGTAGTATTATTAGTATATTTCATATTACCCAGACCCCTCGTAAAGTTTGAACGTTGGATTTAGGTGATAATCATATTCAGTCTATGGGAAAAAATCCAGCTACTTATAGTCGCAGCAACTCATCTCCCTTCTGCCTAGCGGAGTGGCAGCCTAACAAGAAGCCACTCCTACAGACTTATATACATCACGTAATCTGGGATCCAACTCGCAAAGCGAGATGCAGGCTACAGCAACTCTATATATCCGTGTATGTACATTCGTGATGTCCCATTTCCTGAAAACGAACTTAGAACCTCGTCAAGGCCTATCGTGGACAAGTTGCCGCTCACGTTGTTATGCTGCCCCAATGGCGCGCGACTTTGAAATCGTTTTGATGCCTCAGCGAAGTCTAGCACGGCCTTAACCCTACTAGCTCGCGACACGGTGTCTGGTTTACCTTGTGCTGTAGTTCAGAGGAATAAAATAATATATCACATTGCGGAGTCGCTGGAGTGAATAATATTCAGCCCAATGCACCATGACACACATGCAGAATCAGCCCAAGAAGATCAGTAACGCCGTAGCTGTATAATCCCCAATTGAGCAAGATGGATACAGTTCAATTCATGCAAGCCTAACTCATGCAAAGGTAGTGAAGTAAGTGTTCGGCTTCTGCACACTACATAGGTCATGTTCATCGATGGACTTGAATTGATTGTCGATAATAATTGGAAAAAAAGGGTGGGGGCGGGGGGCCGCTAAGTTGAACCGAAGTTGAGGGGAGTCCGCCAGAGATTCTTTGGTACTGTCACCATCCCAACGATGAACGCAAGTGCAGTTTCAGAACAACAGTCACTAACACCGTATAGATCGCATAGATTGTTTGCCTTTCTTGCTGAAATTATAAGGATTTCTGAATCTTAATACGTAGAATCTCTTCAGTTGCGCCAACGAACGGGTGTTCATGTTCAACGATCCATTAAGAACTGTTTATTTGACGTCAGGTGTCGGTAACACATTGCGGGGCAGCAGCAGTGGCTGGCTGAATGATCTACGAAAAAAGAAACCTCAAACATACCATGGCAACCCACTTCTGATTTATAATTAGTTCGTTGCCGTCCCCAGAGGAAAGAAACTCGACACACGGACCGCCTGTTTTGTTTTTGGGCGGGTTATGACGAGGTGAGCGGTCCTCAAAGCCCACCTGTTGGTGAAAATCCCGTACGTATAGGTGCAGACCCAACAGTGCTCAATTCACAGTGGCACATAGCTACAGTATATTACAAACACAGCACATGCAGTATACAATTGGTAACTACAGCCACCGCACCGAGCGGCATTCCTCTGCCAACGATGTTATTATACTCACTACAGGAACAATGTCGTGATTCTAACCCCTTGCAGAATTAGTATTTGCCTAATTGACAGCTCGCACCGTCCCTAAGGCGACGACGACGGTCAACTCAGCTCTGCAGACCCATCTTTCCTTTTTCTTGAAATCCCGTGTGGATGCAATCGAGTCCACCTTGCACGGTGTGGGTATTAGATTGGCTCATGATATGCCTGCCAAGGACGCTCTTTCCCGCTGATCGCCGTGTTGAGCAAGGTTTGTCGTGGATCTCGCGCTGAGAGACATAGTGTGTGACCTGCTTACAAGAGCTCCAGAAGGGGGATGGACTCGATTTCGTGCTGCTGCAAGCGTCGCCCATGGGCAATTGGGCCAGCGGAAACTTTCTGATGAGGATGGTCCACTCGAGGAAGCATTTCCTTTCCCTGCCTCTTCACATCAATAGGCGCTTGCATCTCAAAATCGGCACCAACATAGTGAAGGCCGTAGATGATCGGCTTGATGTCATACGTCGTGACATATTGTGTGCCAAGAGGTGGCGGGCTGAGCGATCGGAAAAGAAGGTTCACAGAACAACTATCCAACACATATCCACAGCCCTGAAGGTTCGTGCAAAGGCCCCGGACTGCGCCATTGCTTTTGCGGCTTGGTTTAAGGCCGATTGAAGATTAAATGGCGTATAAAATATCAAGTTTGTACAGAGTATCTGAGTGTAAATGAACCTAATTCAGTCGAACACGGAAAAATAGGTGATAACCGAGGGCTTATGCGCACTTGCTGGACTATGATGGTTACAAGGCTCTCCAGTAAACATCACCACACAAACTGACGGATCATAGCAGGAATTGTTAAAACAAGTGTATCATAAGTCCATATTTCTCATAATGGAACTCTTGGTGCGGAGGAAATACGTATTTGTGTGACATCTGACAATACTATCAACAAAGTAAACAAGAAATTTTACTCCAGCTTGCGAATGTTTTCTTTTACTCCGTAGGCTACCTCCCTTCGAGCTGAGTGAAGCAGGGATTACCGTGAGGGGCTGGCTGAAATCTCCACAATAATCTGCACTGGCATAAGAGGCACGGTGATCGCGCATGACAGACCCATATGTGAATGTCGTTGCCTCCATCCTGTCTACATATTCCTGCATTCATGCCCAAAGCTTCCCCACGATGCCTATCTCTTTCCGCTTATGGCCCGTTCGCTCGGCAAAGAATAAGTTATAAAAGGCACTGAAAGACCTCGAGCAAATAGCACTCCTATTCAACGACGCCGTTAGGAAGAAACCGAGACTCAGTTATCAGAATTATATCTTCTTCCTTTTATCAGACTTTGAAGTAGTGATACACAATCATGGTGTACTACGCTTATGCAAAGAACGTAAGGTTTCATCTTTAGAGGGGGTTTGGTGTGCTTTTCAACTGACCAACACCAATTATACCAACAGAGCAACGACGATTGGTCATGGCGCTACGTTATTGTCGCACCGTCTTATGATATCCTCAACGAGTGGTATGAGGCGGTCAGAGCACGAGTCACCGAGAATGTTCTTTGGCGCGTCTCCGAGGATTTCTACGTGTTTGATAGGACCAAGCTGAACCTCGGAAGAAGCACTGCTCCGGGCAACGAGGCTCCGCAGTTCATGAACAAGATTATCTTTCAGCTGCAGAATGACAACGAGGGCAGAGGAATCTCGACTTTTAACAATCACTGGAGCCGCTGAGAAATCGACTCGACGTGAGTGTTTCTTGTGATTGAATACTTCGGTTCTAACAATAATCTTATAGATCTTTGTGTCCGGTAGTGTCTCTCTCTGCAATGATACAAAACTGCATTCACGCAATATGTAGAACAGACTGGTGGCAATATACCACTTCGACAGCTTGTTCGGGACAGTTTCCTCCATAGGTAGATACATTACTTTGATATACCAACTTGGTACCCTCTCTTCTTTAGAATCCGTCCTCTCTTCGTCTGCACAAAATATAAAGCTCTATGGCGAAAGAAAAGACAGGTAGAAACATTTAGGGCGGCTAAATATGGGGGTGGTTACCTAGTGCCCCATAATTCGGTCACAGGTGACTCGACGACATAACCAATGGGCCAGTATGACCTCGCGGCTGGAGAGGGCCTTTTTACAGATTATCTGAATGCCCAATTCTCAATGCTTATTACGCGCTAACATTTAGCTAGAAAGAAAACGTTCCCAGTCGACAGCTGTCTTTACGCCTTCCAAATGCAATCCGTTAAATATTCATTAGGATACTCTACCGCTCCAATTTGATCAATATTGGGCACTCTGCAGGACCTGGATTGTAGAGCTCGACACAAATCGTCGATATCGTGTCTATTTGTCATACCGGCATGCTGAAAATGGCACTTTGCGCTGTGATTCGCTGCCACCATATCCAAGCACCACTAGAGGAACCAGGGGATTCGGAGTTAATGCACTTTGCCCGTCCAGATCCGCTCTCATCCCGTTTCTCACCAAGGGCTGCGTGATGCTCTTCCCAGGCGGGGTGACGCTCGCAGACGAAACCCTCCGATCCGCTCTGTCCGGCGATACTTTTCAACCGTGGAAGACATACACTATAACTGAGGATCGAGTGCTTCCCCTCGACAGCAATGAGAAATGTGCACTGAGTGTGTAAAGGGTGATTGCCGAAAGGGAGATGGAAACGGAGAGGAGAAAGTGTTCCATGCGCTTTACTCCAGTATATGGTGCCGTCGTATTAACGAAGATGGACCAGAAGATTGGGAAAGGGTGTCTCATCCACAGACTCCCGTGTACGTTTCTGATTCTTCTCTTTATGCATCATAATGCTTTATACACGTGGTCTCTAACGAGGTGGATAATGTCAAGACCACTACCTACCTAAACCTAGAGAGACTTTGTGGTTTCACATAAAGTAATATATATATTTGGCACGGGGACCCGAAAAAGTGGAGTGGGAAGGAACTTTTGGAAGGGGATGTACTATCTCTTAGTAGTTTCTCTCTTCTTCTTAAAATCAACCAACGTCATTATTTCTGCTATTCTGTATCTCAAGGTTATTGGAACTCAAATTCTAACAGCGATTGGAAGGCACCTGCTTCAACCCCAGATGTTACACCCACCAGACGAAATTTCGGACTAGCTGTGTGAAACAGGCGGACAAAATCGCCGACAGTTCGTTCGCGAGCATCATGGGCCGCCAGCATGAACTGGTCCTCAATCCTGTGGTTTTCAGATTAGGGTCACATTGGTACCGAAGGACGGAACTTACAGGATCATATTTTCCGTTAGAGTGTTCAGTCGCTGAGCTGGTGGGTCGGGCAGAATGCCTTCGCTTATGAAGACTCTTGCCCCTGGCTTGATTGAAGGCAAAAGGGCCTTGAGAATCGAAACCAAATCCTCGTCATTCCAATCGTGGAGAATATGCCGCAAAATGTATCCATCTGCACTGACTGGCTGAGGTTCGAAGAAATTATGGCTCTGAAAAGAAATTCGCGATGCAACTCCTGGCTCAGCAGAAAGCAACACGAGCTTTCTTCCCATGTCTAATGCGTCGACATTGTTGCCCTGGACGATAAACTCAGCCTCGGAAGCTAATGGTGCAATTGCTAAGACTGTATGCCCAGATGATCTACCTATCTATAACCAAGTCAATATTTGAACGCCCGTAAATAGAGATAAAGCCCCGAGGCGAAAGCCAACCCACATCGACAATCGTCTTGGGCCCGAGACTGACCCAGTCCCAAGCTGCTCGAAGACGATCCATGGACCACAAAGGTGTATTGACGCGACCAATGAGATATTCGTGACACTTCGTGTTCAAGTCTTTCGAATGCGCAAAATATTCGAACAGGTTTTCCTCCGTGTTGTATGCGAGATTGAATGCGCTCTCCGGAACCTTGTCAGTACTTTTATCTTCTTTCACGACCATCACTGATGGAATAGACATCAAAATCTTCTGCAGGAATTGGACACCAAAGTGCACAACATTACGAAGGTGACCATTGTTATGTAGTTCTGCCGATGCCGACGAGTGCGCAATCTGATCTAGGGCAATCTCCCGAAACAGTCCATTTGCGACACCATAGCGGATACCCCGAGCGAGAACATCTTCAGGTAGACTGGCGGCGGCGGAAAGATCTGACATAGAGATTGAAGAGTCCAACGGGACTAGTTGTGGGATTTGAAAACGTGTCAAGAGGTCCAAGTTGGCATAATCCCCTGCCTATTGCCTGTGTTTAGCCGATCTTCTTGTGCATCACTCATGCTTACTCCTAACTTACCGACCATGCTGGACTAAGAACATGATCCGTTGGGCCCATAGCCAAGTAAATGAGATCTTTCGCAGCCCGGATGAGCTCATTCCGAGTCTTCAAAGGCGCTATCGTTGACAGATCCGAACCACCGGGACTTTCGATACTTGGGCCAACCCCGTGTTCTTTAGTAAGTTCGGCCAGTTCTTTGGCCTTCGCATAGACCGTTGAGGCCAGGGATTCTAATGTTGAAGACGACATATTTAATACTTTCGAAGGAACAGACAATTCTCTCTTGTCACGGCCCAGGCTTGTGACTTTATGAGGGGAAAGAGAAAAGGAAAAGTTTAGCAGGAAGATATTATCACGGTGGATCTAGTTTATCCCCCGATGTCCGTCTCTTCGGAAGCATTATATAATTTGGTGACCCATGTAAACAGAGGACTGGGGCATTACTGGTTCGGTTACCTTATACTGAGCTCACAATAATTGAAGCATATTGTTTTGCAGGAGCAGAGAGGGCTCGGCGACAAGATTTGTGCGCTAGTCTCATGTCGGCGACTATCGTGGAAATTGCCCTTTCCCGGCGGGACTTCACCCTACAGGCAAAACAACACATACAGGTTATCTAGCCGAGAAATCCTCCAGCGCCTTACGGTGAGTGTCTAACGAAGGATTGGACAAGACTTTTATGTTTGTCAAGGTTCCAGATCTTGCGATGACTGAAGCACAAGAACGCCAACCGCAACTTGTTTCCAATTAGCTGCTGTGGGTTGAACTTATCTATACGTTGATACTTTAGATGAAAAAAAATTTGTTGAAAGTAATATGGAAGTTGAAATTAGAAGAAATCTCAATGCCGAGATTGAGAAATACTTTGCTTACTGTATCAACCAACGACAGCCTGTTCGCTGGGTGTTGAATGATGATCATGGGAGCAAGCTGGGCTTCGGGCTCTCAGACATAGCAAGTGCTCCTCAAGGAGTTTTACGGACTCTTCGAAACTGTTGTATCTATTTTAGCCGTAGGGTCAGTTTGAGAAAGGGGCATCGATATAAATATCAAGACATACCCGAGTCATGAGCCAACCGTTCAGTGAAGTTTGTAGGTACGTCTGAGTAGGCTACATTGTATTCAGATTTTGCTGCAAACCTAGGGAGATAGATGATAAAATTACCTGAGCCAGGCGGATCTGCATGATTGCGAAGTTCCTCCAATATCACAGCCTCCTTACCAACGCGCACGCTCGACATGATCTGGACCCTCGAAACTCGAGGCTTTCTAAGCTTTTCGAACAGAGCCTTCCTGCTGGGCACGTTTCCAGGTGAATGAATCTTTTCAAAAAGCATCCTCAACGCGCCAGCATCTTCGATGGCTTGATTAGCCCCCTGGCCACTAAATGGAAGCATCTGAGAGACTTAAGCCTCTAGGTTAACGGAAAAATGGATCTTCCAACCCTACCGGATGAGCAGCGTCGCCAATAAGAAGGACCTTTCCAGGCGTTCAATGAGTGATAGGCTCATGGATGTTGAGTGGCCATTTCGTGATTTTTGGGGCTTTCCTGTTGATGTAAGTCATTGATTACCGTGATTACATAGGATATATCATGTCATACTTGACGAGGCGCATTAGGCACGGATGGAAATGAGCAAATTGCCTTTCCATTGAGCCTACAAAGTCTTCATTTGGTTAGCACGCTTGTTCATCGAAGTCCCTCTTTGCATTTTTCTGACCGTATACATTGCCTGGAACGGTGTTGTTGATTCCCACGAAATTTTGATATTCTCCGCTGCGATAAAGAGTAGATTTGGATGAAGGGCAGGAAAAGCTGTTCATTGACTCACTTCTGACAGTCATACCATACCATGTGCACACAGCTGTATTCTCGTCCGAAGTATCCACCAAAATCGACGGCCCATGACCCTTCTTCGCTACGAGTGAAACATAGTCCTGGACATCATGAATACTCTCAGTAGGATCTGGAATCGGAAAGCACTAAGACCTGTTTTGAGTGGTGGCTGTGGATGTCCTTCGAGAACCAGAGGCTTAAGAATGGAGTGAAGGCCGTCTGCACCTACGATCAAATCTGCATCAACGCTTGATCCATCTTCAAGATGAAGCGTTCCCGCAGCCGGCTCAACTGTTAGCAACTTGCGACCTAGGTGTAACATAATATCCGGGAGGCCTGGGACTTCCATCGTAGCGATACGATGAAGCTCTCGATGAAGATCTGCTCGCTGCATAGTATGAATCGGTGCGCCAAACCTCCGCTCTGTATCTGTGAGATCAAAACTAGCCACAGAATCGAATGTCGGTCCGTCGCGGAGCTCAAAGCAAGGCTGAGGCTTACTCCGGGCATTTTCACAGGAGAAGCCCAATGCAGTGAGAACTCTAATGCCATTCGGCGCGACGACAAGGGCAGCTCCTAGTTCACTGAGAAACTGGGATTTCTCAAATACCTACTTCAGCTGTAAGCTGAAAAAAAAAAAGAAATGACAAGCATCCTGATTCTTTCTTACTTCAACGTGGTGTCCTGCAAGGCGCAGCGCCGCGGCTTCACCGATGCCAGTGCTGACGATCGCGATTTTAAGAAACATGGTTTTATCAGATATAACAGAAACACCGCAACTTGAAGTGCTGCTCTACCGTGACTCAAGGGTTTAATACGTACTAGGTGGTATTGAGTGGACCTTATCGAGATATGATTAAAATCGCCGACCCAGTTCCCTATCACACCGAGGGCTTCTTTTCTTCAAATTACGTAATAGAGGAGGCTAAAATAAACTGCAGGATAAGTGGTATCATACACAGCGATGTGAATACGGTTAGTTGTATATTTTCAAATCGAAGAAGATTATGTTGAGGCTGAAATCGGCTGAAAAGAATATCATCAATCATTCTATCTTCAACATATGGCTATCTTGTCCAAGTATGCGGATATTTAAACGAAGAACTGTACGAATTAAAAGTTTCTATCCTTCCCTTTGAGAGGAGTTTCCAGCACGACTGAGCGCCTCTGTAATTGCGGCGCCTAAGAAGGCAGCCTTTAAAATAATACGTTAGCTTGGGACGCGAGGCAGGAATATCGAAACTCACATTTTGATCTTGTATCATGTTGAAATGGTTGCCTTGCGTATGTCTGATCTGAAGCTTAGTACCCGGGAGGAGCTCATCCCAGCCCAATGCATCCAGCGGTCCGCTTCTTGTGACCAGCCACTCCACAAGTGCATTTTGGTAGTCGAGATGAGTATTCTGCCAGCAACCATCTAGTTCCTTTTCAAGACCCTCTTTTGCCCATATGAGCATAGTTTGCATCGACCCAGTAGATGGAAGAGGACTAGGCGAATATCCCTTGACAACATTGATCGTTTGCAGGAAGTGTTTTCTCACATCTGCACTCAGAGAATGACGTCCTGCAATCAAGTCCAAGAAAGTGGGAGGCATAGTAGGATAACGTAGAGGGCAGGGTGAATCGATAATAATCAATATATCAACCTGTTCGCCCAACTGCAGTAGTTTCCTAGTTGCTTCGACGGCGTATAGACCGCCAGCAGACCATCCACCAAGCAGATATGGACCGTGCGGCTGTTGTTCACGAATTACCTGGACCATCATCCTCACTATAACCTCCATGTCTAACTGAATCTCACTGGTAGAGTACAGGATGGGGCTGTTCAGGCCGCAAACTCGGACTCGAGATGAAATCCGGGGGAGCTTTGCATATACGCTCGCAAGACCGCTGCCATCTGGGAACAAAAAGAGGGTTTTATCGTATGAGCCATCTCTCTGGAGGATGTTAGATGAGGGAAGCGAAGATATCCTGCTCATGGAATGCGAAGAACTGGCACTCGAATTGTCTGGTCTCGATGAGTCATGCGAATCGTCAAACATTTGACTCAAAACGTCGTGAATGTTTGGGCCGGCAGCAGGCTCAAATATGTCGGATGGGAGTAGAACTCCCGTCTTAACCTCCAGGGCTCCGAGTATGGAAATTGCCATCATTGAATCGAGACCAAGTGTTGATAGATCCTCAACTGCCAGAACTTCTTGAACATCGACACCTATCTCGCTCGCAATAATTGTGTAAATTTCTTGGAGCTTTAAATTGGGTGAGATGGTGAGTGGTATGTCGCATTCGGTCGGAGGAGAGGAAACGGGTGACTCGTAACTGCTCGAAGTCGGAGTCAAAGGCATATTGTCTGTCGATTGGCCAGGTGAACACTTCAAGACGTAATCGCGGAAATGACCGAAGGTAGGCAGATCACCAAAACAAGACGACGGAAGTTGCAGATTGAGTGAAGCTTGAATTTGTTGCAGGATTGTCCATGGACAGCAGTGAGTCTACTCCAAGCTCAGTAAAAGTGCTGTCATCCAGAAGTCCATCTTCGGGGATGCCAATCTGTGAAGCAAGCAGCTTCTTGAGACTGGAAGTAGTTGACGCTTCGCTTCGTTGTTGTCTGGAGGCCGAGCTAGGGATATTCTCCACCACCTTGTGTCTTGTCACATTTCCAGTATGCGATATTGGAGATTGACTGGGAACTGAAGAGGAAAGGATTCTTTCAATCACTGCCCCTGGAATCCTCTTGAACTTGACATCACCACATCGAGCAATCATTCGGTTTCCTTGGAAGATCGAAACATCGCCGGCAAAGACCGTTTTGTCTTCGGGCAACATCCTCACATGCGCGCGGTAAGGAAGAGCTGGGTCGATCTCTTCAGCAATCTGGTAACTGCCAATGCCATGGGAGATATAAGTAAACTCGCGGGGATTTACTGTTCCAATGGCATTCATCACAAACCCTGCGATTTGTGCCAAGTTGTCAAGCCACAGAGGGCAGCAATAGAATTTTCCAGCGTCATTGGCTTGATGAAGGCCCAGTGAGACCACAGCTTCAACTTTTCCGAATCGACAATCACCTCCTTCATGCCTTGATAGCAACTGTCATATTGGACCACATTTGAGAAGAGCTTGTAGACCATTTCGTGAGAGATTTGACTTCGGAGTGTGCCTCGACCGCACTCGAGATCTTGGATTCTCTCGAGAATCAGATAAGCATTTTTATTCCAAGCACGGGACCATGAATCGGTGTCTCCAAATACAACCTTGCACGTTGCATGCACCTGGGAAGCCCCGGTTGAATTATCCGAGGCTTCTATGCGCATATTTACCGTGTCAGATTCAAGATTTGCTTCTGCTGAAATGCGAAGCATCTTGCTCTCCGTAGGTCTGGTGACTGGCATTACGACGGGGCTCTTTATGTCCAAATCAACAACATTCATCCCTGACACAGGGCAGGGGAAAGAGAAATGTCTTCGGAAGTGATCTGCCACGGTGAGAGCAATGTCTGCGAAAACTCCCTACGATATTGGTAAGTCAAAAACATCAATTGAAGAAGGAAAAGAAACTCCAGTAAGCTTGGCTAGACAAGTTGACTTACAGACGGACATAACGCGATTCCATTCAGAACATGGCCTGCAATTAGCTTATGAAGATATGGATCGGACAGATCTGACTCGAAGGTTACAGTGGCATTTGACCCCTGAACAACCGAAGAGATTACTCGCTGCACTGTTGTTGACATAATCAAGGAGTCTTCTTCTGACGAAAGGGGCACATTGTTTCCATGACGTTGTAAGAGCCAGTCGTTCCGATACGGAATCCAATGGTTTTTCTTATCAAAAGCGTATGATGGCAAATTGAGCAGTCTGGGAGTGGAATTGAAAGCGTTGTAGTATTCAGTCCAGTCAAGTGAAAATCCCAGGTCATTGAGAACTGCCAATGATCTAGAGATGGTGGCAAGACAGTCTTCGGATCGATGAAGCGACGAAATGAATCGATTGCTAGAATCAAGGGTGGGTCGAATCATGTTTAGGCAGACTGGATGAGGGCCAAGTTCCAGGAATGTGGATTCGGTTATGATTACGCCATCCTCCTTTGCAGACCTAAGGGCTTTCGAAAGTTGGACTGGCTCTCGTGCATGGCGCGTGAAATAACTTGGCTCTATCTCATCGCCGACTTGGACAGTGGTTCCAAGCAATGTTGAATGAAGAGGAATTCGCAAACCGGAGATCGGGATTGAGATGATCTCTTTATCGAATTCTGCCAGTATCGGGTCAACCTGAGAGGAGTGGAAGGCATATGGAATATTTAGCATGGTGCACGGTATCCCATTCGTCTTGAGCAACCTCTCCGCTTCTTGAACGGTGGCTGTCAGACCACTGATTACAATATCTGATGGTCCGTTTAGGCAGGAAATCTCATAATTGTGCACTCGATCAATCAAAATACTCTCAACCTCGCTTAAGGTTAGCTTGACGGCCAGCATCTTGTGGGTGGAAGAGGTGCACAGCTTTTGTAGAAGGGTTGCGCGTCGACCAACAAGATACAGCGTATCACTTGCAGACAAAGCACCGGCGGCAAACAAGGCAGCATATTCTCCTAGACTATGCCCAATCACGGAAGAAGGCTTAATGTTCCATGACAGCCACAGTTTGACCAGCGCCATTTGAATGGCTACATGGCACAGTTGAGTTTGAACTGGGGTGAGTTTATCAAATTCCTCTTGTCCATTGACAATCTCTTGCACAAAAGAGGGAAATCCGTGATCAATAGCGATGTGCTCGAGTGTTATTAGGTATGATCGGAAGGTGTGGTTGGATTCGAAAAGTTTCTTCCCGACGTTTGATGAGAGAGAACCCTGGCCAGTGAAGACAAACACCAGATTCTGTGATTTGCTGGAGGGTTTGAGGGCTTGGCGTTTGGATGTCGCGCGTAAGGCCTGCTTGGCCTGCGTGATGGTTGAAGCAACGATAGAGACCCGCAGCGGGTGTTGCACCCTTCGTGCAGTGGTCGTATAGGCGATATCCTCGATCAAAGTATTAGGATATTTATCGAGGTAATCAGCCAAATTCACCAGATTCCCCAGAAGAGATGATTCAGTCTTCACGGTCACGCTCAACACATGATCGCGCTGCGGTGAGGTTGAGATCGGAGGATCGGAGTTAGAGCCGCCTTCTGCGAGGAGAAAGCTCGAATTCCCGCCCGCCGCTCCGAAATTATTGATCATGATTCTTCTCTTTCGACCAGATACCTTAGAAAATGGGATGAGCTTGTCCGTAATTCTGACCCCTCTCTGTTCCAAGGGTGGAAAAGTGCGGTTGATTCGACCGCTCTTGACGCCAATGTGTGGTGGGATCTGCTGCTTCTGGAATAGCAGTAAACATTTAATTAAAGCTGATATCCCAGAGGCTGATTCTCCATGGCCAATGTTTGCCTTGATTGAGCCGACGTAAAGTGGGTTTCTTCTCGCACCAGAGTTGGACTCAGGAGCCAAAACATTCAATATAGATGCCATCTCGACGGAATCTCCCAGTTGTGTGCCTGTCCCGTGAAGTTCAACATAATCGACATGCTCAGGCTGAACGCCTGCTTGAGACAAACCCTTTCGGAACAATGTTTCCTGTGCTCCAGCGTGAGACTGGGTGATTGATGCTGCATATGCTGAATAGTTTGTGGCTGATGCTTGGATGACACCAAGGATATTGTCATTATCAGCCGTGGCAGCATCAAGGCGCTTGAGTACAACACTTGCGACCGCTTCACCGCGACAATAGCCATTCGCTTCGTCGTCAAACGTTTTGCATGGCCCATCACTCGAGACAAAGTGCCCGCGGGAGAGTCCGGCGTACATATCAGGGCTATTGAGAAGCATCATGCCCCCAACAACGGCTGTGTCGCACTCGTTGCTCCAAATTGATGCACAAGCTAGATTTAATGCCGTAGCACTAGAATCACAAGCCGTGTCGACGCTCACACTTGGACCGCCTAATACAACAGTTAGAACGACCTGTAACTTTCTTCGAGGGTAATTTTCATGACTCACCAAATTGGTTCGCACGAGAGACTCGACCCTATTGCAACGAGTAAGCTGCTATGATTGAATTGAAAGTAAGAGGAACACCTAGTTACTCACAGGACCAAAAGCACGAACGATGCCAGAAACGTAGTACGTGTCAATCTCTTGCACAACGTTGACATCTTTATAGTCATCCGTCGTCTACCCAAAGAACGTGCCAATCCTTTCCATCTGTGTTGATGTAGTGCGGCCCGGTACGTATCCTGCCATCTCTAGTGCTTCATATGCAGTTACTAGGGCCAATCTCTGTTGAGGATCTGTCTGCATGGCTTCCCGCGGAGACATATTGAAAAATCGAGCATCAAACATGCCGGGACTTTTCATGAAATTCCCATATTCTGTTGTGCTCTTGTTCTTGTCTCTGTCATCCTTGGAGACATATTTGGCCGGGTCAAATCTATCACTCGGGATCTGCATTATGTTAGACCAACGTAAGGTAGTCAAACGTAGCACGAGAAATGTAACTTACCACCTTGCAACAGTCAATACCTTCCGATAGTATTTTCCAGAGCTCATCAAGATTTTCGGAATTGGGAAATCGACCTGCCATTCCAACAACAGCCAAAGGTCGGTTCAGTGGTTGTCCTTCTGTGCCTCCACCCTGGCGAGAGGAGGCATCACTCAATGTAATACTGAGACCAGTTTTGGTGCTCAAGTTGTTTGCAAGTGCTTTTTGGTTATGCACTGGACCAAAACATTGAATCTCCCAGCATGACGGATCGTTCTTCGATATTGAGTTTGCAGCCCCCTGACAGAGTGCCTTCCATGCGATTGGATAAATAAGAATGTCTTCCACTGCCCGGCCCAGCACCTGCTTGTGAGTGCCCTCGCTATATGTCTCACCATTGGAACCCGACAGAATATTGGACCGAGACTTATCCTGTTTCGGTTTTGAGATCTCTGCGCTCAAACTCTCAATCGAGCCAATTACATCTTTAGATTTGTATAGATGTGGAGCATGGTAGGGAGCGAAGAGAGAGAGTGGCCTTCCAGCACGACTCGGATTTTCGGGACCAAACTTTTCGAGGAGGATGTTTTTCAAACTAGCTAATGTTGAAGGAGGTCCTTGCACCGTCAAGGTTCGCTCAAACTCAGCGGTTATGAATGCGGTTTTCCGAGATGAAAGCCGCTAGAACAAATTAGCTTACAAGCCTTCATTTGGTTCGCCGGGGTGGTTTACCAGTGCCCCAATGAAAGAGGCCAACTCTGAGCGTTCTATAAATTCATTGTCCACGGAAAATGACCAAGGAGCTTGGTCATTGTCATCCTCCAAGTCACCCGCAGTGGTGAAGACCAGTGACCCAAGTCGAATAGCAAGTCTAAAGACTTCTACTCCAAGGGAGACAAGCTCCAGCACACTTGTAGAAAGGCCGACTGCTGACGCCGACAATTGGCCGACGCAAAGACCAATATGTACCGAGTTATTTGAGTTAGGAAACTCCACTTGAGGATGACTTTCGTACCATCTTTGCCTTTGTTAGTACATCCTGGGGTCCGCGGAATCGGTGAATTCACTAACGATATGCAGTTTCCCAACTGAACAAGAACAAGCAGCGCCGGGGATAGAACCTTCAAGCTACGTGATGCTTGGTTTCTCGGGTCCAGAAAATCAAAGAAGGACGTGAAACTCAACGCATCATATCGAACACGTGGTGGAAGATGTTTAACTTCCCCGTGAAGCACATCCTGGCATGATGATAAAAATTGTGAAAGCAGTGTGTTTGTCTGTTGGGATCTCAGCAGTTGAGACAGTGCTGTCATTATCGGCAAAGAACAATCTCCAAAGAAAAGTATCTTTCCGGTTGGCTCCATTTTGTGAGAGTCTCCTCTAGGTTGGTTGTTGAAATTCCAGGCCAGGAGTTTAGATATCACACCTGCGTATTTTAACTAAGAACTCGACAACTTCTATAGTAAAAACCAAGACCGAGACCAATTCCTCCGCCATCGTTCACCAATCTCATCTAATGGCATTCACGGAGAGTTGTTGACCAAGTTCTTGGCGTCGCTATCTCATTTTAAGGACTTTCCGGCGTGATACTCGCCGAGGCACCTACTACTGGATCATGAAACTCGACGCCACTAAAGTTAGAGTAGCGCTACACAATCCCACGACAATCCAAGAAATCGCCGAGAATTTTCAACCTCTTGGCTCCAGAACTTCACCTAATATCCCAGTGATTGGCCAGAATTAATGGAGCTTCGTTCTGATAACCAATTCGGTCTCTCCTTTTGTCACATTAACTAACTTATCTATCAGTGTTCCGAGCTTTCTTATTCAACCAGTGCGTTATCATGCATTCCTACTCCTTGAGCCAGTTACATCGCTTTCTTTTTTTCTATTTCTATATCGTACAATTCCAGGCTCCTTTTTAATATCTTGGAGCAAAAAAGCAAATATCAATGAAAACTTACTATCATTGTATTATCAGAATATGGATTTGTGTACAAACTGATTGACACACTTCTTCTTTCCTCGTGCATGATGGAATTCCATAGAATTTTTATCTTCGTTTGCGTGTTTTTTCATGTTCCTTTTTTTTTTTTTGTCTATTTAATGTTGCCATGGTGCCTCAGGCATCAACCCACCCATGCCGCTTCCAGAGTTTCAGCCCACAGTAGTATCTCTTCTCCAGTCAAGATCATTGTTTCTAATTCTTGTGTCTAAAATAGCAACATGCTGAGGCCTTTCTGTAGTGTAGAATCAATGAATTTTCGTCTATCATTCATCACTCTACTTAGATTCCATCAGATAGTCCACACAAGCCATATTGGTTCTCAAAAGCACCACCGTAGGCAATGAAAGAGGTCGACGGGATGGCAGGTTGTTCTTTCGCGTATGCCATCTTATTTCATTTGGTTGATAATACTGCCTCCTCCTGATTATACATTTGCCAATCATACAATAGTTGGGGCTCTTGCGCTGCAGCAAGTATAGGCTTGTGGTTGCAAGTCATGGAAATATATATGCACAAAGAAACAAAGAAAGCTTTTGTTAAATTATACAAGGCAAGCAGGGTAATTAAACATGTAAACTCGTCACTTTTGGTCTACAAGATAGGGTGAGAACAATATATGTATTCAAAAGAGAATTAATTTTGTCTCATGGTTTTTAACTGAGAATGTGCTGTCCTTTATGGGCGAGAATTCGGGTCACGCTCAATACGGGACTTCGCATACTGGCCCCGACGTGCGGGGTGATCAAAAAAGGAAAAGGGTCCCGTAGACGGAACCTGTTGGACGTATCATATTCTCACCAGGAAGGCAAGAATAAACGATGTGAATCCCTCAGGAGGTCTTCCAGTAATTGGAAGGTCAGCCGTAAGCCGTACACCCGGCGCATATACGCCATGATGAGGCGCATTAAATCTGCCTGTGGCGCAGGGAATTACAGCAGAAATGGGCTTAAGATTCTCAACCAATTTCAGTTATACCTTCAAATCCTTTTATGCCGCTCTCCATCTTCTTTCATCTGTCATCGCAGCTTAGCGCTATTTTCGTCGACGTTTCTTCCTTTCTTGTCTTTGAAATTATTGTTCGATTGTGAATTTTCATATCCAAGATGCAAAATGATTTCGGACTACCATCTAGCTTAAACCCCGAATGCGTCCAGAAAATTATTTTTGTGGAGGGCTACGAAATATACGAAGGCAGAAAGCCTAAGTTCAAGTGATTTGAAGAAAGAAGAAGCTATCTATGTGGGTTTCTGCGACTGAAATGGCACGGGGTGCAGAGCCTGAGGCAATCGCTCAACCGCTCAACATCTTGTGAACACGATTTCAATTAACTATAATTTAATTCAAGGCAGCTAATTATTCAAGAGACATATCAAAACTCCATCCTCTATCTCCAATATCGCGCATTGATTCTCGATTGGGCAATAACAACCGAGTCCCTAGCGCTCAGCGTAACCCCGCGAGATCAAATTTTTTTCCAAGCAGCCGAAAGTTCTAGTGATCTTTCAGAACAAAGTGATCAGATAACTTATCTCCTCTCCCGCCAATAGCTCTGTCAACAATCACAATGAAGTCAAGCCAGAAACCAAATCCAAGGTCGCAGACTCACCCGGTCACACTTTAAAACTCTTCGTCCCTTTTCCCAGTAGGGGAATCACCCAAGCTAGTCGCAGAATTGGTCTCATTTTCAGGTTTTTTTTCATTGGTTGCCCTCAGTTCAGTCTGCGCGCGCATCCCATCGGTCATCGCATCCAACTGTCGGGCGGACTCAGCAGCATATTGGCAGTGTCGGCGGATAGCCGGTCCGTACTTATAAAAGATCCATGGGAATGGCAAGCAGGCAATGGCAAGGAAGGCCGAGATAGAGGAAGCCCAATGGATTCCAAGATTCTGATACATTGGAGTGGTAAAGAGAGGGCTGTGGGGTTCTTGGTCAGCTCTATACATCATGTTTGGGAAGGAAGATTCAGAAACATACAATGCTGCACCGAAAAGTGCACGGATAACAGCGTTACCTGCCAGTGCGGATGCGGCGTAAATAGTATAGCCATCGACCAGATAGTTCACAACACTTAAAAAGATCGATACGTGAGAGAAACCAAAGAGAAGAGATCCTATCTCGCATACAATCCAATGGATATTAGGGAAGTTGGTCCATGCAAACCAGAAGAGTCCGATTGGAAGGGTGACTGCGCCAACCATAGCTGGGATCAATCGAGTTTCCGGGGGAGGACGACCATAGGGAGTGCGATCGGCAACCTTTTTGTAACGGTTGTCATCAAGGACTGAATAGGTACAGCCAAGGATCTGCCCGATCATCATTCCTAGGAATGACAGACCTGAGGTGTTCTGTGGCCATTTGAGGGTATCTTCGAAGACGATGGGGAAGGCGGCAAATTCCATGTACATGGTTCCGTAAACTGTTTATACATTAATTAGACCTTGATTGGATAAAGCCACAAAGAAAAGAAGAAAGGTAATACGTACTGATTGCCATGTAAATAGACAGCAGCAGGACGATCGGCTCCATGAAGAGCAAGATCCACGGTCGAACCATAGTCTTAGCAAAGATCTGACCAGCTGTTCGGTTAGAGTCACCCATAGCCAGATGGCTCCTGTAGACAGCACCGGTCATTTTGCTGAGCTTTGCGGCGCGCTTCTGTAACAAAACCGGAGTATAGGTCTCAGGAATACAGGCAATACCAACCAGGAACACCACTGCATTGAAAATAGTGGTAAGACCCTGCACCCATCTCCAGCCCTGAGACACAGCCAAAACGTCACAAGTTATAGGCCCAAGGCTCGGGCCCAAGAAAGGGGCACCAATGAACGCGATGGTTGCTAGTCCCCTGTCCCGGGCTTTATACATGTCTGAAACCACACCACCGGCATTTGAAATTGCGGACGAGCCAAATGCACCAGAAAAGAATCGAAGGACAAGCAATGTGGCGATATTTCGGCTTGCAATGGTTGCTCCAGCAAACAGTGTAGTTAGACCGTAGGTAATGAAGTAGATCATTTGACGGCCGAAAAGCTCGGATAGCGGAGCCCAGATTGCAGGCCCGATCGCGAAAGCAAGAACAAATAGTGAGGTATCGGCAACCACTAGCTCAGCGCTAACTCCGAACTCCTTCTGTATTTGGGGGTTGGCTGCTGAAAGAGCGGACGAGGCGAATGTGATGGACAAGAAGGAGGCAGCTTGGAGTAGTGTGATTGACCACTTGAGCCAGTCTTGCATCTGATGCGGATCACGATAATCTTCAGCAAGCCAGTCAACCAAGTAAGGATCTTCTTCTGTGCCACTGCCCTCCCATTGATAGTGGAGAACTTCGTCGGTGATGGTATCTTGCGACAGCACTAGCTGGTACAGAGGAAGTCTGTGGCGGTTGCTGGACTTTTCGGTGGTTGACATTGCTAGTGTGGGGACTCAATACCTGAGCCTTGAGGGAGTAGAATGGAGGAAGCTCCGAGGGAGCTGGCAATGGTTAATGACGTAGATTGTGCGGGAACGGCGAGTTTTCAAGTAAGACCTAGTACCGGCGACAAAATAAAAGCACCTGGCGAGCGGGAAAATAATAATGAGACTGGAGGCGATTGGAAGGGGAAGGCAGATGGGCTGAAAAATATAGGCTGTAGGAAAGTACTGAGAAATTTCGCAGAAAATAAGGGGAGAACCCAGTTGGTCCCATTATTAATGATTAACAATTGCCAGGGTGTAGATTAGAAATCAATTCTAGACGAGTCCGGAATGCGAGTCATTTTGTTCTTTGCGCTTTCTGAAGCTGTAATTTTGTATAAATGACGATGCCATGATTTTCAGGCTATGCCAAGCTTTAAGGCTATGGTTAGCCGCTAACGGATGGGCCAATAAGGTCAGTTCCTGAGGGCCCCACTACGTCGTTCACACTAGTACCCGTCCCGCGTTGGCGGCTAGTCTCAATCCGGCTATGACAGAATGCGACGAAAAAATCCGACGATCACATGGAATATCTACAGGTTGCTTCAATTATTCATGCTGTTGCATATCAAAAACTTTGAATCATGGATTTCTTGTTCAGCATTATATCGTAAAATACATTTGTCATCGATGAATGATGGCCCGAAGAGAATCTTCCGTAGCCATGACCAATGTCTGTAAATCTTCCAACACGAAGTGAACTGGGCGTTTGTCACTGGTACTGATGGCTACAAAGGGGCTCTCATGCACTCTATTGACATCGTTAACCATGGAATCATAAATTCGCTTGATTTTACTGAACGTGCGAGCGATCAGCACGTCTGTGAGAAAGGCTTGCTCATCGTGCGGGATTTGAAAGCCGCCAACACGGATGGTATTGGGAGTGGGGCCATGGAGTCGTCGGTTAAAAGACTCTATACCCGCTTGGTCGAATGGGAGGCTTTGACTGCTTCCTCCGCTGGAGCTTCCACTCCATGCTGAAGACCTCACAGACGATGACCGTTGCCTTGACAAAAGAGATTGCAGACCCTGAAGTATACTCCGAAGACCCATAGCCAGTATTAAAACTGACACCGAGTCTTGATCGCGTCGGCAAGTGAAACGATTGGATAGTCGCTCCCACAGCGCCTGGCTATCCTGGGTTGCCTGGAGAAGTAAAGGCACTGCTGTCTCTGAACGCTTACACTCGGTATTCTTCAGCTCACATAAAAGTCTTGTCTGATGGTCAAGGCAAGAGCAGTAATTTGGGTCTTTGTCGTGATTTTCTCCAGAGAACAGCGGAAGCCGAACATCCTCAGTGAGTGTCGATGCAGGATCTTGAGAGCCGCCAAAACCCGTTTCGAGAAAAGAAAGATCAACTCCGGGCATAGCCCGACGGAGGTCATTCTCATATGACTAAATAAACAGGAAGCATTGTTAAGAAGTGTCCAATGACTTTGTTATACCTCAAGTGGGGTTGCGTACCGTTGCCATGACAGGCGTAGCGAAGTCGTCGTAGAGAGATCCAATATCACTTCCCAACTTGTCAAACAAGCCACCAGCCTCATCCCAAGATTTCTCCGGCATTGGAATAAAACCGCCCTCCGTTGCATTTGATAGGTTGTTTTCATTCAATAACTCAGCGAGCGTACCTTCCATTGATGAAATGATCGCCCCAGCACTCCCAGCAATCCTTTCCGCTGGCATATTATTGTCAAATATTCTTTCTCCGTTGACAGAATCGCTGATACTGCCTCTTCTTTGGTTCCACTGTTGTGTCTTTCTGTTCTTGGAGCCTTTAGGACGCCCGAGCCTATTAGGTTCGCTGTATAGACAGACCTGTTTCGATTTTGCACAACCAATACAGGGATCACCACCGGAGCATTTCATCTTCATGCCGTGACATACGTCACAAGCAGCCCGAACCTTTCGCTGGTTGTTCACTTCCATATTGAACGGCAGTCTGAGAATTGCGTACAGTAACAGGGAAGGTAAGGTCCAATTGACAAGGATACCCGTGCAAAAGAAATAGTTGCTGCATCTCAGGTTCCATTGCATGTTGGTTAAATGAGAATCCGATACCCCTGGTCTTCACAAAAATTAGCCTGACATGATTCATTCGCAACTCCAGGGCTAGTATCCTTCTAAGGGTGGAGGCTGTTCTTTATCGCTGTTTCCCCCCTGCGACCCATTGGAAGCGAAGCCGCCAAGTGTCAGAATTACAACATCCTTGACCAGATCTTAATCTGTCATTCGATGTTACATGGTCAAAAAGTGGAGAACATCCTGTTGGAGTCCCTTTCCTCAAAGTACGAGAAATGATCTGCAAGGGTCCCGCCCCCCCATTCCCGCTTATCTCTTGTGTCGAGATAGCTTCTTCTCGCCTCTTTACCCCAACTAGACGATGAGCGTATTTCGAGACATCATTCTTGAACCTAAAGGATTCGACCCTAAGCCGTTTTGTGGATTTCATGCGGCCACGAAAAATCGAAAGGATTCCGGATTCGCTGGTTAGCAACGGACGTAGCTCAGCTTCTTCCGAGACAGAAAATTCACATTTATGAGTTGCTTGGACTCTATGTCATTGATTAGATCTTTCATCCGGGCCATGGGTTTGTCCCAGCGTTGAGTTCACAGGACTTTAAGTTGTGATTTAATTCTTCAAGCCTCGTATGGCGACATGCATTTAATTAACCGTTTGGATGACGCTTCATGCAGTCTGCAGATTGATGGGTTCTGCGGCTTATTTGGCACGTGCACAGCACGCCATCAGCTGCAGATCAAACAAGAAGGTAGAATTGTGAACGTAGTATTGTACTGTGATTGGTACTTTTGCTCGCTGGATAGTGCCAAATTAGGTTCCTCCGATCTCATTACGGCATAAAAAGCCACAAAGACACGAGGTTACAATGCAGACAATATAATTGAAAGATAATCTAACCGCTAGCTAATATCGAAATACCTCATTACCTCCGCCAATATTACCGTGGCGATAACCCCTTTTCCCCACTTTGGTGGCGTTTCAGTTAGTTCTTTTTATCGGCCCATCCCGTTCATCTACTCTGCTCTCACCAGTAAATCTGAAATAAAAGAAAACATGGCCCGCTTCACTCAACGATTGAGAAATCAAGCTTTTCCAATTAAAGAGTAAAGAGAAATAGGGAGCAGAGAAGATAGACTGTCGTCTCCTGTGTAGAGTTGGTATAATCTGCACACTATTCTGTTCTTGTCTATTTTTATGTCTTTAATCCTGGAAGCGGGGACTATACATATACAACCTGGTCTTCCGCACTTACAATGGCAAACTGGAACTTCGGTGACGTGATTCCGAAGACACTATGCACCAGTGAGGATTAACAAAATCGACAACGCCCTTATCCACACACCAAGGTTGCAGAGACGCGTCACCTATGTAAGCAATAAAAACTCGGGATCAAGCTGTCTCGTGTCGATCCCATGTCAAATCAAAATATGTATATGTTTACCCGGTTTCATGCCCAGTCTCAGGCAATGCACATCGCGGGCGTCGGCCGGGAGGCTGTCAGACCCGACGGGCTTGGCAAGACTCCAAGCGTAAACATTGGCACATTGGATCTTAAGTGGGTTTGGCAACGTGTTCGCATTATTATTAGTCGAAAGCCAGACGACTTGGCGGGATGTTTGGATATCTCCCGAGGTCACGAGGTCATGGACGAGAATGTTGACACAATCTCTGAGTAGCTGTCGAAAGTTACGGTGACAATACGAGTACAGTATTAGATGTCGATTGCACCAGGAGTCCCAGTGCTGTATATCTGAGGCAGAGCCTTCCTTTGGTCAGTCTCAGCATGTATACAACCTGACTACGTAATTTATAAGCTGCTAATTCATGCAGTTTCTGTGGTTCTTCGAACACCTACGCTATAATGACCTCATTTATAAGCTCCTTTATTGGGAATATGGTTTACCTTCTACTGATATAGCTCTTTCTATAGAGCTGAATTTCTTTCAGATCTACAGCGGAATGCTATGGCAGAGGTCGCAGTTCCTGCCGACCATGCTGGTGATCTGTCATTAGATATACGTTGGCTATCTGGATAGAAGGAAATTCGACTTCATTCAAATACGTAATGGTATTCAGTGTTCCCACTTAAAGATCATTCAATGTCTCGGTCTAGGCCGAAACTAATGCAAACCACTTAGCATAGTTGCAGAACTATTTGACCTGCAATACAACCTAATTCAAAGATGAGCACTGACAGACGCAGGCTTCTCCCGCTTAGGGAACCTCTCCCAAGCCTCGGCAAAACCTGCCCCACGGACAAAATCGAAATGCTTAGTTCCGTCCATAGGCTTCAAGCTGGCCGAATCAATGGCAGCAATACCAGCCGTTAAGAACACTGGCTGTTTGACCCTGAATTCAGGAAGGTGGTTATATGGCTTTGACGTATCCTGTGAGTGCGCCATACATCGGATGAGCTTTGCCATATGACCATCATCTTCGTGGTAACATGCACGTTCGAATACCTCGTCCCATCCTTGGTTCGGTAATTTGGACACATGCGATGCAAGCCAGTCGAATCGAAGCTCGGGGGCCCCCTGCGATGCGTAGGACATCAAGTAAACCCGACCGGTGTACTCGAGAAGGCGGGCCTTTTGCTCATTGCTGAGCGAAGGTTCTGCAAGGAACATGGTGTGGCCGATGCTTGAAGTGACGCTGTGCAAAAGAGAGAAGTCAAATGCACAGATATATGGAGGGCGCTGAGCTCCGGCTGTGAGATACACTAACGTTGACCGATTCCTCAAATCAGCTTGCGTTGATGCAAAAGAGCTAACTGTCTCTCAACTCTCCAGGCGTAAAATAACACACATTACTTACCTGCTGTATTCTGCAGTTCAGCGGTGGCTCGTTCCAAATCATTCGGGTCAACGCGATATCGAGCAGCGACACGAGTAAGTTCCGGAGCTGCATTTTTTAATACCCCGTCGCGGGATGGTTCAAGATCCAGACACATCTCTCCAGTGATCCTGCGCTTTTGCAAATGATAGTACGCACTCGAGCACGTGCAGACTTTTTTGTTTGACCTTGCCATGTCCACGCAGGTACTAAGGGGAAGGGCAGGCTCAACCTGTTGCTTGGAGAGTTTCTCTGCATTTGTCAAGTAGTCTGTATACCACCAGTCATGGTGCACACAGGCTTGAGCAAATCCCTCGGCTAATAGTCTTGCCTGCTTAAACTCTAACGCCATCCCAATGTGAATGATGCCATGCACGTATCCTAAGTCACAAAAGTCAGTATAAACAGCGCTCTCACATTGCACCTCCGTGCGCTACCTCACTCACCCATATAGATTCGACAGAGGATATCATCAGCCAAAGGAGTTCCATTGACAAGGTATTTTTGTATAACCGCCTGGTACCCGATACGGTTGATCTCGTGTTCAAAGAAACGACAGAAATTCATAAAGTTCTCCTCTCTGCCAAGACACCGTTTGAAAACCAGTGGGTCGCTCAAATCATTCACTAGTGTGTCTTGGATGGTGAAAGCTTCTCGCTGGTAGAGACTATTACGATCGTGCTGTGATCGAATCGTTTCTGGCTTTCCTCCCAAGGCCCAGACAGTAATATCATGATGAACAATATGATTGTGGAAGTAAACCTGTGGCACCAGTGATCAGTCATCAACCCTTTGTGATATTCACAGAAGAGCAGTGGATCCTTATGACCTACCCCTTTGTGGTCTTCGGTAGTGGTGAAAATATGATGGTTGTTGTGATTTTCTTCAAGAACTTGTTCGAGCATGCGGGACGACTCTTGGGTAACATTTTTGGCATGGCGTAAACCAGCGTTGTTTACTGGGTGAAAACGGAAATGTGATGTGGATTCCAATTCGAGTGCCATTTTCAGTGGTGTTTGACATAGGCTAGCTTCGGGTAACAAATTGCTTTTTGAAGGCGTGACGAGCTTAGCTCTAAAGATATATTAATAAGTATGAGGTACAAGAATTTGAGGTTGACTACACACGAGGAGTCTACCGAGCATATTCTGATGTCCTGAATCAACCAGGCTCAATAACAATTTTCTTTCGGTGATTATCGAATTCATTTGTAACGTGAATGGTACGTAATGAGGGCTTTCGCCATATGGATGAGCACGGGGAATTATCCCGGTTTTTCAGATGTATAGAGGAAAATCATTGGGTATTGTTCGGTGATTTGTCAATGTACTTTCTGGCGAGATCTTGACTACGCTTCATAAACAATGTGGCCTCTGCATTAAAAAAGTCGCCGATTTGAGAGACAGAAGTATGCAGGGGGAAAACATAACACCATGACGATCTTTCAACGTAGCCGGTAATCACTCAGAGCTAAAGTACCATCTTTTATTCGCATAAATACAATGGGTTCTAAGTAAAATCAAAAGGGAAAATACCTTTCGCTCTTGAAATTCATTCCTGATGCCACTGAAAAGTCATATCCAATTTCCCGATCCCGGAACCCCAACAGACCTCACAAAAATGAAGCCAGCATACCAGAAGCTACTCAACAAAGACGTTCTCATCATCGGCGGAACGTCGGGCATGGGATACGCGGTCGCTGAGGCTAGTCTTGCATCCGGCGCAGACGTTACAATTTCGTCCTCGAACCAGACCCGCATCAACGAGCGGGTCAAACAACTTCAAACCGATTACCCATCACGAAGGGTGCAGGGATTTGTCTGTGACTTGTCACGCGACACCCTCAAAGAAGACATAGAAGACCTGTTCAAGAAAGTCGGCAAATTGGACCACATTGTTTTCACTGCGACGGAACCACCCAAGTTGTTTAGGTACGACGAGTTCACGTTGGAGTATTGGCGCAATGCAGGCCAAATGCGACTTTTTGCGCCCTTTTTTGTTGCGCAGGTGGGATCCAAGTATCTGAATCCTGGACTTGAGTCATCGATCGTTTTGACGACGGGAACATCCTCTGAGAAACCTATTGCTGGCTGGCCGGTTGTTGCCTCATACGCAGCCAGCTTGAAAGGTCTTACTAGGTATTTGGCTTTGGATTTAAAGCCTATTCGTGTGAATATTGTTAGTCCTGGGTTTGTCGAGACGGAGTTGTGGGATCATCAGGACCCGGAGGCAAGAAGGGTCTGTTTGAGTGGGTTAAGACTGCCACGGCATTGGAGAAGATTGGGAAGCCAGAAGAAATCGCAGAATCCTTTCTGTGGTTTATGAAGGATACAAATGTCACCGGTAGTGTCGCGGAGACTAACTCTGGGATGAAGCTGGTCTAAGTCTGTGTACTTGCTCTCTTCGTGTTGCCGTTCTGTATTTATAATACTAGAGTAGTAATACTTGGAACACAACAAAGAATGGTTTAGTTCTAATTAAGTAGGGATGCCAAGAGATCCTTATTACAGTTCAAGACTCCCACTAGATGGAAAGTGATTCTGGTTTTGAGTTAGTTATCCCTAGACTGTTGTGGAGATGCTCAGGAATCTACCCCATCCGTGCCACTGCCCTTTACATAGCTCACATCCATAGAAGTGCTCTCTTGTCCTATCATCTTCACGAATTGATCAACTTTCTCCATTGTTCTACTCGACCACCATACCTCCATCATAGACTGCGCCAAACCCCGCAAATGGGTCGAGGCCCGCGACCCAGAGCCCGAACCCAACCCCAACCCTATATGGGCTGCTCATCTCAATCCATCGATAACCAACTCTCGCGGTACAAAAGTTCCCCCACAGCAACATACAACAGCGATCACATATTCATTTTCGCGATATGTCTCATATATTCCAGTGCATCCGGGACCCATGATAGTATCGACCTGCTTCCATCTCATTGAGCTTCAGATCCACACGCTTTTCCATGAACTCTTGCTCTTCGAGCTCTAAGAAATGAGGTCTCTGCTTCCAATTGTCGCAATATTCGTCGTCGCCGGATTGAGTCGATCCAAAGAGTCGCTCGTCGATCTTTTGCCAATAGATCGCGTCGAATGCAATATTATTCCTTGCATCGTACATAATCCAAAATTCTCCACTCTCCCAGCTCCTTCGCATCGCAGTAGGGAGCCGTTGGCTTTCTGCTAGCCGACCTTTCTGGATCGCCTCCTCTTCGTCGTACTCTATATACCAGTCGTTAAGGCCTTTAAGCCAACAATCTGGCTTTTCGAGAATATGTCACGCAGATTAGTCCTCTGAACGTGCCAGAGGCCTTACTAACCGGCCTATAGGTACGGAGTATAAGACGCCTACACGTTGACAGACCCTGGGTGGTGAGGATCAGACTGGTTTTGGCATGGTTGTAGGCGTACCTCCAAAAGGAAGAAAAGGTAGAAGATAGGCGTTAACTCCAATGTGAGGAACACCAATACCCAGCAGGAGTGTGGGGCGACTACGCGGCACAGATAGCCCTGTGCTCCGATAAGTGAGATGTGTACATGTTCGGCCGATAAACATGATTAGAAACCATGAATATTATTATATATTTTACGTGCTGATATGAAGTTCAGATAACCAGTACATTACAGATGTTCGGCAAACCTTATGGCAGGAACATGATATAGGGATGAATCCCCCCTCCTGGTCGTCTGTCAACCAACCCCGTCTCAGTCAATCAGGCAACATGGAGACCAAAGAAACTATTGCGCCCGAGACAGCCATGCAGGTGCCAACCACACCCCCTGAGAAGTATGTGGACGGTGATGCGGCGCTGATGTTCCTGACGCGGGAGCATAGGGCTGGGGTCGTTGATATCGCGGAAAGCAGAGCGTTACGGTGGAAAATTGACCTGCGAATTATGCCGATCCTCATGGGCATCTACTTCTTGCAGTATCTAGACAAGACTTTGCTAAACTATGCGGCCGTCATGGGTATCAAGGATAACCTGAAAGGGAACGAGTACAACAATATCGGAACTATCTTCTACGTCGGATACTTTGTCGCGGAGCCGATCACCGCGTACCTCATGCAGCGCTTCCCCATTGGCAAGTATATTGGAATCAACGTCACCTGCTGGGGCATTCTCGTTGCCTGCCACGCCGCTTGTGAAAGCTATGCCTCTCTAATGATCGTTCGTATCCTCCTCGGTGCGTTCGAGGCCTCTGTGGCGCCATCTCTCATCCTCATCACGGGCATGTGGTGGACCAAGCCGGAACAGTCGCGCCGGACGGGTTTGTGGTACAGTCAGATTGGTGTGGCACAGATTGTTGGATCCGCTATCTCGTATGGCTTCCAGCATGTGAACTCCACCGCATTGGCGAACTGGCAGATCCTGTTCCTTTTCATGGTAGGTTGCTTTTGGACTGTAAGGATCCTGAGAGCACTGGAAGCTGATGAAGGTGAATTGCAGGGATGTCTTACTACGGTGGCTGGAATCGCCATCATCTTCCTCCTTCCAGACAACCCTATGAGTGCTTCCTTCCTCAACGACGAAGAGAAGATTACAGCAATCGAACACGTCCGCGTGAACCTGACTGGTGTTGAAAACAAGCATTTCAAGCCATATCAACTGGTGGAGCTGTTGTTCAAGGACAAGGAGACCTGGCCCTTGTTCTTCATCACTCTCCTGGCTATGATCGACAACGGTGCTGTATCTAACTTCTCCAGCATCATCATCGCGACATTCGGATTCTCGACGCAGCGCACCACCATTATCCAGATGCCTTCAGGGGCCGTCTCGATCATCGCCACTGTTGGGGCTACCTACCTCATCGGCGCCATTGGACACCGCTCCTACATGATTGCCATCATTACGATACCCAGTATTCTTGGCGCTGGCTTGCTCCTGGGTATGAATGCTCCTTAGAAGTGATGACGAATGATCAACTAACTAATTATCTCCCTGTGACAGGCCTTGGTGAACAGTATAAAGTGGGCAAGCTCTTCGGCGTCTATCTCCTCAACGCATGCCCGGCCATGCTTCCTATCATCTACAGTTGGAATTCCGCCAATACCAGCGGATATACCAAACGCGCGATGCGCAACGCTCTGACCTTGATGGCGTTCTGCGTGGGCAATCTGATCGGCCCTCAGCTGTTCCAGGTCTCCGACGCACCCAGCTATAACGCGGCCAAGATTACCCTGATCGCGACCATGTCCGCCGTGGTCCTGATGGCGCTTGCTCTCCGACAGCTCACGGTATGGGAGAACGCCAAGCGAGACCTGGAGCAGGCTGGGTCTGAGGACGAGGCATCCGCCGCCGACCTGGCTTTCTTGGATCTGACGGATATACAGAACCATCGGTTCCGATATGCTTACTAAGCATGAGACTTAGATCATGGTGGTTCATTGACCTATGTGTGCGTGTGTATGTATGTATCGGTGAATTGCTACAGTTGGGGTACTCGCAAAACGAAATCCTGTTGGGGGGCTTGGGCCATGTAGTTTTATTACCGATCATTATAATCTACATGTCCATCTAGTACCTATCTATACTTTTGGGGTAACCTATCTATAGCTTTGGGGTAACCTATCTATACTTTTGGGGTAACCTATCTATACTTTTGGGGTAACCTATCTATACTTTTGGGGTATCGCGCATTGTGGCTTCTCAGTCCCATCGATCCATTCTTGTATGAAAAGGTGCTATCTAACTAGGTATGACTGGGGCGAAGTGACGGAGTATGTAGGAGCTGTATGCAGTTTTAAAACATATGTTTTGGGCTGCTTTTCCAGGTTTACTCGACGTACGGGCATTAGTTTTGTGATATGAGATCTATCTCGTTGTATCTTGCCTATCTTACTTGCAAATCAAGACGGGATTTATCATCAAGGTAATGCTTCGACACGTAATGCGAATATTACGCAATGTGCTTGAGGATACGGGGATTGAGGTTCTGGATTGGCCTTCAAAATCACCAGATTTGAGTCCAATCGAGAACCTGTGGACACTATTGAAGGGATAAGACCTACAAGCTTCATCCCGAATTGAAGGCGATGGTGCCCAATAACAATATTACACACATGAGATTAATCGAGGTAGCGCAGGAGGCTTGGGCTGAATTAGACCTAGATATTCATGATGCATCTGTCAGAAACGATGTCTCATCGTGTGCAGGCATTCATTTAGGCAGAGGGCTGACATACAAAATATTAGATGCTGTATATGAAAATACAGGAAACTTTTGGCGGCAGAATCGGCGGTAATCATGGGTGTTGTCAGGTTTTAAAATTTCCGGTTTCATATATTGGGTCGACTGTTATCTAGCGTCGAACTGGAGCTGACTGTACCTAAAACGGTAAAACTTTCGAGGTTCCACGTGCCACACTAGTTACCTAAGGGCGGCCTCGATGAGTCCCATAGCGAGTAATCGGAGATAATCAGTTGTCAAGCACGTTCAGCAGAAGGAAGAAAAAGAAAGAGAAAAGTAATTAGGTCACCGCAGAATAACCCTCAGATCCTGCTCTCCGTTCTCTGCTCCCGTTCCCCGATGCAGGTTTCTTTTTCGTTTAGCTGAGCGAACGAAGCCGATCTCGGCACCGCCTAGCTGCATGTCATCGGACGTCTGAGAAGGCCAGCATCCGTCGGAAGGGAGCCGAACTGGACGAACAAAAGAAACGTCCACAATAATATTAAATAAGCTTAGGCCTACGTACCACTAACTAATAAACATTCGTGGTGGGGTCGACCGTAACGTCAACTTCGCCAGAAGTGGAAGGTCGTTTGTCCAATTTACGATGCGCAAAAGTATCAATCATCGCAGCACCCCACTTTCTTATCAACTGGTTCTCTATGACTCTTCGCTCTAGACTTGACTTCCCGACTCTCGTCGATACACGAACGTCCTCCCATTCTACTTACGGTGTCCCTTTTTCCCTAGTCAGAAAGATCACACCCCTCTTTTCGTCATCTCTTGCCTATTCCGCGATCTAGTTGCCCGCATTACGACTACAGAGCCAAAGCTGGATTGTTTGTTCATCTACACCCGATCTCTCTACCACTCGCAGGCGTGACAATGCCTCTCAACTCGAAGGCTGTCTATTCCAGACCGAACCAGAGCTTCCTCCCGTTTGCCAGCAGGAGAAGTGTCGTCCATAGCACGAATGGGATAGTAACCTGCACCCAACCTCTGGCCGCCGCTGCCGGACAGAGGATTCTGCAGGAGGGAGGAAATGCTGCGGTACGATTGGTCCTATCCGTTGTTGCCACGTAACACGCTCATTTTATTATTCTATAGGACGCCGCTGTAGCTGTCGGCAAGTACCTTTACTAGCATCAGACACTCCTGAGGGAAGAAAGCTAACCATTCCATGCCGTAGCTGCCGCATTAAATGTCACCGAGCCGTCGTCCACTGGCATTGGAGGTGACATGTTCTGTCTGTTTTATAATGCCAAAACGAAAGCCATCCGTGCCATGAACGGTTCTGGCCGATACCCTGCCAACACAACCCTCGAGCAGATCAAAACGGATCTGAACGTCGGCCCCGATCAGACGGAATCAATTCCCAAGACAAGCGCACTGGCCGTGACGACACCCGGTGCGGCGGCGGGGTGGGTTGACACGGTTGAGAGATTCGGCAGTGGCAAGCTCTCTCTGGAGCAGATCCTTGCTCCGGCCATCGAGTTGGCCGAGGAAGGCTTCCCGGTCTCTGAGTTGTCGTCTTCCTTTGTAAGTAACCGTTTCGACCTTGGTCCTTTAAGGGAAACCGTCCTTCCGTCCTAACTTATGCAGTGGCGTGATCACGAACATCTCCTCCGTTCTGCATCCCCGAATTTCAAGGAACTGCTCAAGGTAGATCCGTCGGTCAAGGATGGCCTGAGAAGTCCCTCTGCCGGTGAAATCATGAAGAACTCAGCCCTCGCCCAGACCTTCCGTGCACTAGCAGCAGACGGCAAGAAGGGATTCTATGAAGGCCGCGTCGCAGATGAACTCGTCAAGGTTGTACAGGACCTAGGCGGCTATTTAAGTCTCGACGACTTAAAACGTCACGCCGAGACTGGCAGCCAAGACGTTGATGCCATCTCACTCCAATTCAAGGGTCAAGAGGTCTGTAAGAAGCAGACCCCGGGGACTGATGATGGCACCAACCAGGGCGTAAAAATCTGGGAGCACCCGCCTAACGGACAAGGCATCGTTGCCCTGATGGCATTGGGAATCCTCGAGGAACTTGAAAAGATGGGTAAAATCCCTACATTCACAGAAGCCCAGCATAACTCGACTGAATATCTGCACGCTATTATCGAATCCCTCCGCATCGCCTTCGCAGATGCGGCCTGGTGGGTGACTGATCCGGACCTTGAAAGAGTTCCGTCCCAAGAGCTCATTTCGGAAACCTATCTAGCGAAACGCGCGGAATTATTTAGCCCAGGGAAAGCAGCAGACACCCTCAGCCATGATAGCCCAGCCCATAACCACTGTGACACGGTATATTTCGCTGTGACTGATCGGGAGGGAAACGGCATGTCGTTTATCAACAGCGTTTACACCGAATTCGGCAGTGCGATTGTCCCCAAGGGTTGTGGATTTACGCTACAGAATCGAGGCGCAAATTTCTCATTAATAGCTGGCCATCCGAATGTGGTGGCACCCGGGAAACGGCCCTACCACACGATTATTCCAGCCATGATCACGAATATTTCAGACGGGTCGTTGCACTCCGTGTATGGTGTCATGGGCGGCTTTATGCAGCCACAGGGACATGTTCAGGTCCTGTTGAATATGCTCGCCTTCAACCATCATCCCCAAGCGGCACTTGATGCGCCACGCATCTGCATTGCTGCGGACAAGATCGTCGACGGGAAACCGGTCGTCTATGTAGAGGAAGGAATCAGCGTTGAGGCCATTGAAGGTCTCAAGAAGTTGGGTCATCGGATTGAGGTCCTCACCGGCTGGAAAAGGGGCATGTTCGGTCGCGGCCAGATCATCCGGTGTCACTATGATGAGGGAACCCGGGTTTATAGTGCTGGCAGTGACCCACGAGGTGATGGGCTGGCGATTCCATTGCTTTAGATATTTAATGCTCGTCAGATCAGTACACCAAATACTAAAAGATTATAAAAGAGAATGCTAGTAAGAGTTGGATATTGCCAAACCTGGGTTAAGAGGAAATCTGGTGGTCTAGTGTGAGCCTTGGAGGCCTTTAAATTAGGTGTAGAATATCAACCGCATCTATGCCAAAGAAAAAACCATAACTATATAACTATTAAAACTTCCAACGTATGTCATCTTTCAGCCTTATAAGGGTACTAAGAGTCTTGCCTTTTAGAGAGAGACGTCGAATTCCTAGTACATCTCTCTCGCTATTTAATGATCTCTCGATATCTACCTCAATTACCGGGATAGCAAGGTGATCTTATGCTACCTTGGCTATATAGGTAAATTTAAGCCTGTTAGCATTCCACTAGTTTAGTATAAGCTTAGTCTAGCTCTAGTCTATATAGAAACCAGTGCTAATTATAGGAATATCGAAATACTAGTCGACATCAAATGGCCCGCCGATTCCTTCACCCATGGATCACACGCTTGGCGAACTAAGTGGAGTCTAGTTATAAATTGAAACCTGAAAATGACTCGACCTTAGCAACCTTATCTCCAAAGTTGGCTGGAGAGTTTGCCCAAGCATTGCCACGGCAGCCGGGGCCGACGAAAACAACTCGGGATGGCTGAGGCATTTTGACGACTCTAGGTAGGTTCAGAGCCTATCCGGTACTCACTCTCCTATGCACAGCAACACACTAAGAAATTGGGGACGGACCCACGTCACCCAAAGTGAAAAAAGCCCTTTCCTCCAACACCTAAATTCCACCGACTCTGCCCTTTCTCCTCCGTTTCTTTCAACTCCCCCTTTTTCTCCTCGCAATTTTCCGGAATTCGTCATGGAAACGAAATTCCCTTCCGGACCCTCTCCCGGATTGGCTTAACAAAAGTATACATCAGACCAGCCTCTAGGGCGTATTTAGAACACCTTAGGTTCTATAGACATCTAAACTTATATGCCCCCTTTTCTAACTCTTAGATACTAGCTGCTAACCCGCACCGTAGAGGTTCGCACTTTGTCTTTTCCCATCTTTCTTCCTATTTACTTTAGTTTATCATCAATACTGTGATACGGATTCGTGTCGTTATTGCCGCCAGAATAAGATGTCTACTCTCTCGCTGTTTTTGTATTTATGGGATATAGGCTCAGGGCGTCAAAAAGCTTGCGACGCAAAGCAGACAACGAGGGAGGTGTACGTTGTGAAATGAGAAAGTGACGGTGTCTGCCTCTTAAAACAGAGAAGAGAGGAAGATTTTAGGATTCGAGCATATGTATAGTTTGGGTATCGTGTCACTGACTAAACATTGTGCCTTTTTAGCCAGCTGGCGTAGTGGTCAAACCCAAGAGTCACAATCTATCGCGAAAGAAGACTAACGTGATAAGAGCCAAAGTTCATGAGCAGCCCAATCCGAACAAGTTGAGTGGTGACTTCATGGCGCCAACCTCCATGTGTTTTGTGGGCGATCAGCTCGGTGGCTCCTCGACCTAGGAGAATTTGGCATCCTATCTACGGCCGGTCCATGTCAACGTTCTCTCAACACCCAAGCGAATACATTGCAACTGGTCCAAACAGCTCGGCTGCCGTGGCGACTTGCACCCAGGTAGCGCTAAAGCCATGGCTCAGACCTGACAGCAGACGGCCAAGTCCGGCGAGAAACATGATCGCACCAAGGAGTCCCAATGGGGTCCGTCTCGTCTCTAAATCATTGCTTGTCCACCAAAGCATCATACCATAGCCGGCCCACATAGCTCCTAGGAATCGAATTTGACTGTCTACCAGCGCTACGGCGGGCGATCTAGTCGGAAGGGGTCCAGATATAGAGTTGATCATGTCGATGCCGAGGCATACATCCATGGAGCCGGTGATTATGGAGAATAACGAGCATGCCTTTAATGTTATCGGAAAGAGCAGTGATGATCCGTGAGCCCAGACCATGCTGATATATTCTTTCAAGGCGAGAGCTAGGGAAGGGTATTCTTAGACGATCAAAATCAAAAGGAGCTTGAGGTTGAAATGGATAGATTTTTCGTAGAAGGGGGAAATAGAATAAATTATGAATTTCAAGTTGTGGGTTACAAGTTGGTGATTTTATAATGTTACCTTAACAGCTCGTGAACCTCCTGCTTTATTAATTTTCCCGTCGGCCTAAACATTAGTCCGACTCTCCGGTTTGATGATAAATCCGAGCGACCGGTTCAACGGAGCCCGAGGCCTCATCGTCTAAGGAACTCGATAATTTTGAAAGATTCACCTCATAAATTCGCATTTCCCCGTCCCTTTCTGGTATATATATAGATCATCTACTTATTCTCGCATCTTAATAACTCTTCGTAGCTAGTCTCTCCAGCGTATTCAAGGAGCCCTATTAGAGACGGATAGGATAAGTCTAATGACAGCATAAATAGACAGCAGGAATAGCACGGCGCTAGGAACACCGCCGGTTTAGATCGCGTCGACGTGTGTTCGCCTCACGTTGCCGTTAATGCTGTGGGCGGGCGTTTTAGGGTTATTTGTGCCTGGGATACTCTGCAACATATAAGCAAAGGCAGACGTGCTAGTTAATGATCAACTTAATAAAAGCTGCCGGCTCATGCTGGCTCTCATCATAGGTGGCTGTGATCATGATGGGGCATTTTGCGGTATGAGGACGGAAGCACGTGCGCATATTTACCGGAAACAGCATGATATAAGGACTGGGTATAGGGTCACCAAACACTACCCCGAGCCGGTGAGGAACCACAATATGACCGGCGGTATATCGCCACCGGCGTTAACACGGCATTCACGACAACACTTCGACATGCCAAGATAGTAGACCACCCTCGTAAGATGATCACGATCACTAGGGCCCTTTAAACTCTCAACTACGTGATGAACACCTGATTCTGTCTCTAGCTTAAGGAAAGCTAGGATATACCAGGGAAATTCTCGAGCGATATCAGGGATGTATGTCGAAAGAGATATTCTCGCTATACCTCGAAGGAGCTCAAGCCTGGCACCGTAAACACTCGCCTCGATATGGGGGCTTTGTTGAAATCAATCGACGGTAGTCTTCTACGATTCGGCACCAACCCTTCACTTCACCGGAAATTCCAAAATCCACCATGGGAGCAGTTTTCCATGTTTCATCCTAAGCAAAGCTCATTGACATTGAAGCTCCAAGTATGTACCGTCCTCTACAGGGGGCGAAACCCCCAAGTCTATCAAGTAGCACCCTGGTCTAAGAATGCAGAGCCCACTGCTTCATGTAATTCAAGAATTGTACGTCTCCAGCCATTTCGCAGTGCGTCTAGCACCTTCCAATACATAGTCTTGGTCACTCCCGCACATGATGAAGCGCCCAAGCCCAGATGCCATATGGATAAATTTGTCGATGAGATCTTGTCGGGCGTACAGGCCACCGATCCCTATCGCCTTCCCATTTTTGCGACAGACCGAAATAACCCGCTCGTAAATCTCCGTAATTCTCTTATCATCGTGATTTCCAGGAGCCCCTAAGCAGGCAGACATATCGTTTGTCCCAATGAGAAGAACGTCCACATTATCAGTTGCCGCGATCTCGTCCAGGTTCTCCAACGACTCGAGGGTTTCAATCATGATGATACACATCACTTGCTCGTTGGCGGCTATATTCGCCTCGATCGTTGGATATGAGCCGTACTGTAGAGCTGCTAGGCCGCCAATTGCGGAACGTTCACCATCAGGGAAGAATCTTGCGGCACGAGCGGCGTCCAAAGCATCCTGCGCTGTGCGGACATGGGGGATGATGACCGCTTGCGCGCCACCATCTAGCACTCTCCCGACAAACGAGCATGCTGTCGAGGGAACTCGTACGACAGGTGTGATGTGGTGAGCTAAAGCGGCGAGCGTGAATTGCATACACTGATCCAGATCGATCGAGCTATGTTCCAGATCGACGAGCACCCCTTGCATCCCCGCAGCTTTCGCAAATCCAACGATCTCAACTCCGCGAGAGTACCGTAGGGACATGGCGCTGACAACCTTGCCTTGTTTTAGTTGTTGCTTCATCGAATTCGGCTTCGCATTTCGGGCCGCCGACGCCGCCGGCTGACTCGGGGCAGTGCGGTGGTCGCTAACACTGCTGTGGTGATCTAAAGACATTTCGATGACCTCGAATGCACCTCAATTTGCGAAATCCACTATTCTCATCACAGGTTCAGCAAACGGTCCAGTGGACCAGTGATTACATGTAGTCCACTGGAGACCGCTCTAACGCCGCAGGTGGCCTTGGCGGGTTTAGGCCGGAGAAACGTGCAAAGACCAGTGCGTCACTCTGATAAGATGGAACTTTTCCCGGGCATAAGCTACGTAGGAAAAGTCTCCCAGTATCTTACCAGTGTTATATCTCCTTTTAGCTCTTCTCAAGTATCAATTGCGGTGTGTCGATCGGATTCAGCAATGCAGCCGGCTCTCAAGAATCCGAAGTTATGGCAAGACAAGGCCTACATCAATGGAAAATGGACGGATTCACGTTATGGCAAGACATTCGATGTGATCAATCCCTCAACCGGTGACTCGATTGCAAAGCTCCCAGAGTTGAGCAAAGAAGATGTGCGAATTGCCTCAGGACAAGCGCTCGCGGCCTTCGAGAAGTGGAAACAGATCAGCCCAAAACAACGCGGGGCGATCGTCCGGAAATGGGCTCAGCTGCTGTTGGAAAACGCTGAGGATCTAGGGAGGATCATGACGATGGAGAATGGCAAGCCATTCGCCGAGGCGAAGGGCGAAATCGCGTTCGCTGCGAGCTATCTCGAGTTCTACAGCGGCGAGGCGGAAAGGATATACGGGGATATTATCCCGTCGGCCAACCCGGGCAACCGAGTGTTCGTCATTCACCAGCCCATCGGGGTTGTCGCCTGTCTGACCCCCTGGAACTTCCCCGCTGCCATGGTCACCCGAAAGGCCGGGGCTGCCATTGTCGCTGGATGTGCTGCCATCGTCAAACCCGCCGGGGAGACGTCTCTCACCGCACTCGCGATTGCGTACCTCGGGGAACAAGCCGGTCTCCCTCCCGGGGTGCTCAATGTGGTGACGGGAATGCAGAATCTGGCGGAGATTGGCAAGGCACTCTGTGAAGACCAAAACATCAGGAAACTTTCTTTTACCGGGTCGACGACCGTCGGCAAGTTGTTGATGCGGCAGTGCTCCAACAGCCTGAAAAAGCTCTCCTTGGAGCTCGGGGGCAATTCGCCCTTTATCATCTTCGACGACTGCGACCTGCCAATGACGGTCAACGCCTTGATGGGGGCCAAGATTCGGAATTCCGGCCAGACATGCGTTTGCGCCAACCGGATATATGTTCAGCGTGGCGTATATTCTGAACTGTCCCGTCTCTTGGTGGAAAATTTCTCCCAGGTCAAGTGCGGCGATGGATTCGAGGACGGCGTGACGGTCGGGCCGTTGACCGTGCAGCGCGGAGTCGAGAAAGTCCAGGCTCATATAGACGATGCGGTGGATAAAGGTGCCAAGATCCTCTACGGGGGCAAGGCGATGGATCGGAAAGGTTACTTCTTCCAACCTTCTGTCCTAGCCGATATGAGCGACCGCATGCTTTCGCACAACGAAGAGATCTTCGGTCCTGTTGCGGCGCTGTACCCTTTCGATACCGAAGAGGAAGTTCTCAAGATGGCGAATAACTCCGAGGTTGGTCTAGGAAGCTATGTGTGCACGAACAATGTGGCACGAGTTTGGCGCATGGCCGAAGGCCTGGAAGTGGGTATGGTTGGAGTTAACACCGGCGTTATCGCCGGGGGAGAAATCCCTTTTGGTGGCATCAAGCATAGCGGATTTGGTGTGGAAGGTGGGAAATGGGGGGTGAAAGAGTTTATGACCACGAAGAGCATCGTCATGGCGGTACCTGCGATATAGAGCAGCGTAGAGATTTGCGATGAGCTTAGCTCAAGAAGCTTAGCTATTCTAAATCGAAGGGCCAACCGTATTGGCGGCTACCTACTGTCTAGCAGCATAGTAATTAAGATCTACTTTAACTATGTATTGATAGGGAATAGCAAATAGACAACTTGAAATGGAGAGGGAGATCAAAGGATATTAGGATGCACTGCCTGGAGTGTTAGGATGCGGTGGTCTATGTATTTTCGTCCGACTCACGAGCATGCATGCGCTAGGATTCCGATGGTAATGACTAGGGCCAGAGAATCATACGATAGAGGCCATACGATAGAGACCATGTATTATCTTAGACACTATGCGCGCATATGTATTTCATATCATTTGTCTGCCCTGATGACTATACTATATACTTCTTCCCCCGTCAACATGATGATCGACGCCGGTGATAAAGGAGCTCTCATCGCTTGCCAGCCACAGAGCAGTATTAGCCACGTCCTCGGTCGTGGTCACACGCCCGAGAGGAATCTGCAAGAGCTGGGCCGCCTTGGTGTGCTGCTCGGGCGTGTTGTCAAATCCAGGGACAAAGTTGCTGGCGAGCTGGGTCGGAACCAAGACCGGACAGGCACAATTGACCCGGATACCCTCCGCACCAAACTCGTGGGCGAGCGCTTTCGAGGCATTAGACACCGCCGCCTTCGACGAGTTGTACCATGTGAGTCTGCCCCGTGGACGAATGGCGGCAATTGACGAAATGTTGATCACGGCGCCCCCCTGGTTCGCGATCATCAGAGGGAAGATGGTCTGGACGGAGTGGAAGATCGATTTGACATTGACCGAATAGACTTTGTCGAAGTTCGCCTCCGACACGGTCAACGATGACTGTGTAGGATAGGCTGTGCCGGCGTTGTTCACGAGGATGTCGAGCCGGGCGCGGAACTGAGACTTGATTTTGGCCACGATATTCTCCCAGTCGGATCGTGAGGTGACATTCGCGACCACGTAGTCCGCCTCAACGCCCTCTGACGAGAGTGATTCGGCTACGGCTCTCGCTGCTTCCTCGTTGGTATCGGCGATGAGAATAGATGCTCCCTCCCGCGCGAAACGACGGCTGATGGCCTCTCCGATTCCCATGGCGCCGCCCGTCACGAGCGCCACCTTGCCAGCAAGCCGTCCATTTGCGTGACCATTCGTTGCCATCTTTTGCTTGTCTTCAGGAAATTGCCTTAGTGCTTTCGTAGGGCATTTCCAGGTAGTTCTACGCGGCTTTTTATCCCAGTTTCGTCGTCCCCCTTCTCACAGGTCTTTCCTTGCCTTCTGAACGACCCACCAACGGGCCCGGCATACACCCGCACACGACGTCCGTCTTAACGCCGCAGCGGTCTTTTTCCCCTTCTCCCTTCACCTTTTCCTTGGGGATGACGGTTGAGGTCTGGATTGCCGTGTTCCAACAGCATTTGATTGTTTGATCAGTCTTGGGACGACACTAAGCAAACCGTATCAGGGCTGGTATCGGAAGAAACCCCATAACGCCGCAGATTGCCCACGCATAAAAGAGCGGGCAGACTTAGTTCCGTGGCTAATAGGAGAAGCCTAGCATACATTACCCGGATCCTAGGGTGCCCTGTTCCATTGCACATCATGTTTTCCCTTCGGCAATCGCTGAGACATCTCAACTCGTCTACACAGCAGACGAAGCGTCACTTAGCTACTGCAGCTCCTCATACCCTCCGAGCCAAGCCCATTAGTCCGTGCTTTGGTGCTGAGGTTGATGGAGTCGACTGGTCCCGACCGCTCGCACCAGAGGTCGTGAGAGAGATTATCCAATTGCAAAACCGATGGGGAGTTCTGGTCTTTCGCCAAACTGGGTTGGATGACGCCAGCCACGTCGCATATTCGAGGAATTTTGGGGCCCTTGAGACCGCCCATGCCATGAACAAGCCTCGGCGAGCATCATTGCCCCAGCTGTATGACGCGGGAAATTTAGGTCCTGATGACCGGATAATCCGTCAATTCAGCCGAGCTTGGTGGCACACCAAAGGAAATGGGCTATGGCACACAGACTCATCTTTCCACCAGCATCGCTCATCCTATAGTGCCTTACGAGCGGTTGAGCTGCCACCAGTCGGAGGACAAACGAAGTATGCCGACATGAGAGCAGCCTATCTGGGTTTGCCGGATGATATCAAGGGGAGAATAGAAAACTTGGTGATGGAACACTGGATTTGGCATTCCCGAAAGCTGGCGGCACCCCAAGAATTCGATAAACCGACCGACGAAGAGAAAGCGACACTCCCGCCAGCGTACCACAAACTCGTCCAGGTTGCTCCCGACGGCATGAATAAAACTCTGTACATTGCAAGTCACGCACGACGAATCATCGGCATCACGGACAGGGAGTCAACGTCTTTGATTAAAGCCTTGTTGGACCATGCCCAGCAACCACAATATCAGATCACAGTGAAGTGGAAGAATGTTGGTGACCTCGTGCAATGGGATAATCGTTGTACTATGCATAGAGCGACGGCGTTCCAGGATCAGAAGAATCGCAGAGATATGCGACGAACCACCATCCATGATCATGGACCCGCAGCATTTGGCGTGAAGAATCAGCTTTCGGCGGACAATATCGACATCCGGGTGGGTGGCAAGATTGACATCTCCGCAGCACCAACTCCAGAAACGCAAACTCAAGAGCAAATCCTGCGGATGTAATTTTTGTGGACATTTTAATTCGGATAATTATAGTTACATTGCTGCAAATTCATAGAGTACAAGTCCAACGTGCTAAACCAATGTAGGGTTCTCGGAGTCAAAAATCTATTCCGCTGGCCCTGTAGCGGATTCATCAGCGGTAAGCCAGAACGGCCAATTAGCCACATCGAGGTCAAATATGTTGTACTGAGCAGAGTCTGTGAGGGGTTGCATGCCTAAAGCTTCACCAGGCACGGCGACCTGGGTCATATATGAATCAAAAGCCTGGCCACAATCTAGTAGCAGGTCGTTGTATTCATGGTCAACCCCATCGAGGTTGTAGGTATCCTGCGAACCGGTCGACACCGCCTGAGTCGGGGACAACTGTCCATTGATCTCCGGGAAAGATCGGTCTGCAGCCTCTGTCTCTTGACCGGCGCTGGGCGCTTGGGGGCTGTTGGAGTTCTCATCAGAGCTAAACTCTTGGTTTTTTGATGGACCGATCCGCAATACCGAGGACGTGTCTTTAATGTCCCTTCTCAGAAGGCACTGGGGGGGCAACCGGCGCCGGATGTTCACTGTCCCCTTGGCAACATTATCCAGGCGGCTTAAAGCTCGCCAACAGCATTGAATGCTATCATTCTGATCTTGGATCCTGGAGAAGATCCGAATGCACGATTTCCAAGAGTTGAAAGCTCGTATCTTTAGATGGGACTTTGTTTCTCGTGCTCGTAATGCAACCAGGCATATCAATGCTGCATGGAATGCCCGGAACCACTGCATCCATGCGATGCGTGCGATCTTGGGAAACGAATCTTGTAAGATTTTCCATCCTTCCGCAACAGCTATTGCTGCCTCTATGCAAGGTTCTGCTGCCTCGGGATGCGAATCCGATAGAAGCGGACGTCGATAAAGTACAAGCTCGTTGTGGTTCACGATAATATGTAAAATCAAGGCCTGAACGTAATGGATCTTTTCTTCTTGGTCATTCAAATCCTGGAGAGATAACCCAGGTAGCTGGAATCTGAACGATGGTGGTAGGTTCTGATACCACTGTCGGAGTTGTTGTGAGATCGATTTCTCCCTTGCAAGTGTCGAAGATTTAGGTGTGGTGAATGAGTTTGTAACCAGGTCACGGGTGATTTCCATCAGTTCCCAAGCATATCGGTTGTAAGAGATCTCGTGAGGGTGAACAGTTACCGGGCTCTTTACACCAAACAATTCCGCGTCGCTCATATCTCGCGGCAACGCGCAATCAAAAAATCCTAGGCCGTTGGGTCGTCCGAACATGACGCTCAATGCAGTCTCCTGTCCAACAATGGCATGGAAAAGTCTGCGACGGATTTCACTCTCCTCTGGAATGAGGCTAGAAATAAGACTTGGGTCGCGATGGAGCCCCATCGACTGGGCCAAACGGATCACCATCCCTAGTAATGGCCAATATTCGTTTAGTTTTCCTTCATGCTGTAGGTAAACAGCGATGAAGCAGAATGTCGCCATTGAATCAATGGACGGTGAAGTCAGAAAGTTGGACAATCGCAGAAGTTGAAAGGACGCCGAAATAAAATTGAATGACGTTCGGTTGGCAGCCACGAGATCCCCTAAACCAAGCACAGCGAATACAAGAGCGGCTTCTTGTGGCTCCGGTGCGACTGCTATATTCATGCATCGCTCATATCTTTGTAAGATCCAGGGCATAGGAAGGTAGTGATGAAGAGGGTCGACAATCTCGACGAAGCTATCTAAGATAGCATCGAGGCTTTCACGAGCGATGCTTCGAAGGCAAGCGCAGATGTCACCAACGCCACAATCCGTCACATTTCCTATCGGTAAAATACTGCCACCCTCATTCCTGCTTGATATGCTGCTGTCGGTGCCTCCAAAAAACGCAAATAAGAGATCTGATGGTTGGTTTGGATGCAAAGCCATCATCTGATGAAGGAGATCTGGGGCCGCGGGTCCTCCAAGGTAGAAGGAACGACCATAATATACCCCGTCTTGATCATGAGCCTTTTCCGGGGTCCTTCGCCTCTTCCGCGAATCGACAGGATCAGTGTTGCGGTCTCGCAGCTGCATAATCACGGCTTCGAGCTGAGTTATTCGTGATCGCAAAATCCTGTTCTCCGCATCTACCGATGTTGTATCGTCCTCCAGGATTTCCAAATCCTCAGCTGCCAGTGCTTCATAGGTGCAATCCTTGGTAGTCTGACGTTTAAGGCATTGCGAACAAGGCTTCTTTCGGTTGCATTTCCTCTTCGAGCGATGGCAAGGGATGCAGGCTTGTATGATTCGTGATCGAGATCGCTTTTGGGGTGGATGATCTTCTATCTCTGACGCCATATTTAACGTCAGGGAAAAGGTTGAATCTTATTGAGAGAAGCGACAAAATTGGAAAGCAAGACGCGCCCAAGTAGCCGAGGATTTCGTCTATCCACCATGCGGGGTAACAACATTTGGTGGATGCTCGCCACAATACCCTAAGCCCGAGACAAAGAGTTCGCCTACCACAGTAAGGTAATCAACTCAAGTAAAGCAACTGCCGGCGGGTAACTCACGCGTGAGCCCTCGCAGAATTCGTCGGGGGGCCCAGATGAACTCGAAGCTAGTATCAATCGGTAGAGTCCATAAGAGGCTAATGGGTATTTCAATTATTCCTTAACTGCATTTGATGCTGAGAATTGGAACATTGGGCAATACGCTTTTGGCTCCATTTGAATGTTGCGAATCATAATATTGAGTGATAGTGCTTGATTAATATAGGGCCATATTAGAAGGTCCCCCAAGGAAGCTATTCGGACCCTTATCCACTTATCTAACCGTAATAGGTAAGGTGTAGTAATTGTATTTCCCGCGCATTACAGTGACTGGACATAAGTAATTGCTCCCCATTTATTACACCGCCAATATAGCCAATACCGCCTTCCTAAAACGCGTAGTGTAAACCACGCTAAAATATCACGCGAAGCTGCTTTTCATGCGAAAAATAGACATTTACCCCTTATTATACTTCCTACACTATATCTCTCTCTATGGCACGCTCCAAAGAACTTACACCTGCTATACGTGAGCGTATATGCGAGCTCCATGCTATTGGATGGGGCTATAAACGTATCCATGGCCGCTACCCTTACATTCCGCTTTCTACAATCCGGTATACTGTTACAAAGGAGAAAGAACGACGTGACGGTGTATCGAAGCCTCGATCTGGGCGGCCAAAAAAACTTACTGAAGCCGACAAAGACCGCCTTCTTACCGCTATACACGGAGATCCTAAGACTACAGCCCAGGATCTTCTTACCGAGGTCGATCATAAGGTTAAATACCGCTCAATTCAACGTCTTTTGAACGCGGAGAATATGCGGAAGTGGCGATGTAGCTGGCGGCCTTATCTTAAGGAGGAGCACGCATTGAAACGCCTCGATTGGGCTTTCCGATATCGACACTTTACACCCGAGGATTGGGCTCGAGTCTTTTGGTCCGATGAATGTACAGTTGAGCGAGGCATTGGCGTACGCCGTGAATGGACTTTTGTACGTCCTTGTGATCAACCAAGAAAGGGTCAATGTCAAGGGTTACCTTCCCGAGGAAAGCAAGTTAAGCAGATGTTTTGGGCTGCATTTTGTGGTGCAGCTAGGCGTACGGGGCTTATCCCACTCTTCGGTAATCCTGAAGCAGAGCGTCGTGGTGTTACTAGCCTTGTGATTGAAGAATTATACCGTCAAATTTTGCCTACCTTGATATCGAATCAAGATGGTATCTTTCAGTATGATAATGCTCCAACACATACCGCGTCTGTCGTCCAAAGGGCCTTGGCTGATATGGATATTGAGGTAATGGAATGGCCTCCTTATTCACCTGATTTGAACCCAATTGAGAATCTCTGGGCGTTGCTGAAAGCGAAGATATATGAGCTTCGTCCAGATCTACTACATATGCCAAATAACGATGAGACGAAGGATATTTTAGTAGCTACTGCTCAGCAGGCATGGAACGAATTGGAAATAAGGCATTTCGAGCATCTATCAGAGACAATGCCGCATCGTGTCGAGGCTATAATTGAGAGCCAGGGCTGGTATACACCTTACTAGTTAAATTGCATGAGATTTATGGCCGGCAGAATATTATATAATAAGGGGGGTGTGGGTCGGGGGGAGCAATTACTTATGTCCAGTCACTGTATTTGGTAAAAGTGCATACATTACTTGGCAATGCTAATGCACCCAGGACCGCCCCTAATATACGTTTCAAGCACTTATATTTACTACGTAAACCACTAGTAAAAATAAGTCGCCTCTCCGTATATCTAGCTTATGTCTCTTAGTCTACCACCAACTAAGCTGTCGCCGGTGAGCATTCCAAGGACGAGAGTTCCCTAGTCCAATCGGCTTAGGAAGCGTCGGAGAGCCCTATAAAAACCGTCGGATACCTCTACAAATAGCCCCATGCGATGAAATTGACACGGTTCCTTCACTATTCTCATACAAATTTTGTAAAGATTCTGACGTAAAATAGCCGCTAGCCGATATGTAGGCCAATTCGTACATTTCTGCAGAGTTTTCGAAATGTATATTAGGGGCGGTCCTGGGTGCATTGGATTGCCAAGTAATGTATGCATTTTTACCGAATAATGCGAGGGAAATACAATTACTACACCTTACCTATTACGGTTAGATAAATGGAGAAGGGGTCCGAATAACTTCCTTGGAGAGTCCTTCTAATGTGGCCCTTAACACAGTATATCCAAATATTCTGTATTTTTCACAGTTCTCGTTTGTCCTGTTTGTCCTGTTTGTGACCCAGGTGGGGGCACTAGCAGCCTATAGAGGGTCGGTTACCCATGACCCGTAGCCATGGGTTAGGGTTGTTGAGTTGTGTTGGGGTTATGCCGAAGTCTAGTTCCGAGATTTGGCTTGCGATGGGGCTCGAGGAGTTAAGACGGTCGAGAACCATAATGATTCACACAGATGAACGATCACCAGGCTGGCCATACCTCGTTTCAAGACGAACTGAAAGTCTTTCATCTTTTCGGATGAGGTAAATATTGATTAATTACCGAGGCGGCCGGTGTTTCAACCAGCTCTCGTTAATCCTAAATACTGCGATCCACTAATGGGCCGTCTTAACGCCGCAGAAGGGGTGACCCATCACACAGCCGGTTCTCATTGGCTTATTGTTCTTGAACGGCGTTTACACGGCGTTTGCAAATGATTGGTCATCTCCTGAACTAATCTGAGACGCATTTGGGCGAGATCCCATGGGGACAAACTTTGTGGGGTAAGGTCAGCGCCTTGAGCCATAGAACCCAATTTGAAAATCAGTATAAAAACAAGGCATATCTAAGCTCACAGAGGTTTTTATGGCGACTTTTTGAAGTGGTGCTTTTTTGTTGTCTTATTCTCCCTTCTAGGTCCAAGATGGGTGTTATTCAGAATCTCAAACTGTGGAAAAACAATGTTACCCACATTGATGCGCATGGTAATGAGGTAACGGAGGAGGTTCCTCGCGTCATGCCGCCCCCACCATGGAAAGTGATTGCACTTCTTGACTTGAAAGCATGGCTATATTTTTGTCTTGGATTGTGAGACTGCATGTGATTGTATATCCTATCCTATTGGGGCTAATTCTTTTTGAGGCAGGGCTGCTTGGACGGCGGATGGTTACGACTTCAACGCAGTCAACCTCGTTGCCACTGACCTGGCAACTGTATATGGCACAGACTTGAGCAGTATCACGTTATCCATCACACTTACTCTCCTCTTTCGGTCAGTGGGAGCAGTCCTTTTCGGTATCATCTCCGACTGCTTCGGTCGAAAATGGCCATTGTCGGCAGATCTATGGATCTTGGCTGGTCTTCAAGTTGCTACGGCTTATGTGACAGAATTTTCGTCATTTATTGCTATTAGAGCTATATTTGGTGTCGCCATGGGAGGTATATGGGGACTTTCTGCAGCCATGTCGATGGAAAACATGCCCGTTGAGGCTCGTGGCTTGTTTTCAGGGCTATTGCAACAAGGTTATGCCCTGGGCTATCTGATTGCTGCTGTGGTCAATATCACGGCTGTCCGTTACACAAGTGAAGGTTATAAGGCTATCTTTCATGTTGGAGCTGGCTTTACAGGCTTGGTAGCCTTAATTGTCATGTTCATACCAGAATCCCCTATTTTTGTGGATATCGACGGGGAAAACGCTGGTCAAATGCCTTTTCGGCAAAAAGCTGCCGGCGTGTGGCGGGACTTAAAATTGGCTTCACGGTTATATTGGAAGATTTTCTTGTATTGCATTGCATTGTGCATGGGGTTTAACTGGATGAGTCATGGTTCGCAGGGTAAGGAGACCAAGCCATATTTTCCTCGAAACTTTGTCTCATTCTACGCACAGATATTTACCCATCCTATTTGAAGGTTCAAAAAGGATTTTCATCTGGCCAGGCCAGTGTTGCAACAATCATCGGTCAATGTGGCGCCATCGTGGGAGGAGCTATTTGTGGTTATTATTCTCAGTTCTTCGGTCGTCGTTTGACGGTGGTGGTGGCTTGCTGCTTCGGCGCTTGCATAATCCCGCTTTGGACTATCCCAAACACATGGAGCCCAATTGTCGCTGGTACGTTTTTAATCCAGGCAGCAGTTAATGGGGCATGGGGCATTATGCCGATATTTTTGAATGAGTATTCCCCGCCGCAATTTCGTGGAGTCTTTCCAGGTACGGTGTATCAGATAGGTGAGTCCCTCTCCCCCTCTCGCGGGACGCTATTTGCCGCTTATCCCGTGGCTTATCGATACTGTAGGGAATATGCTGTCTTCTCCTGCTGCACAGATCTCAACTGTTGCAGCCAGTAATTGGATCCGCGACACACCCTCAGGGCCAAAACCAAATTACAGTCAAGTTATGACAATCACCATGAGTATTGTCTTCACTGCCTGTGCTATTATCATGGCCTGTGGACAGGAGCGGTTGGGAAGCCGCTTTGAGGTGGTCACCAGAGCAGGGGCTGCGCCAAAGATCAACCCAGAAGACAAAACCCACAGTGTTGAGAATGGTGAATGTGAAACTGGTCTAGACGACGCAGGTTCCCACAAGGAAGCCCCTAGAGCAGTGTACATCGAGCAGGTTTAATGGCGCCCCAGATGAAAGTATATGTTTACCTATTAATCCATTGCCGCTCGTTTTGTGCATTAAAATATGAAATGGCTCTTTAGCCAACACATGTTTGAGTTCAACCCCGAGCTGAAGGATAATAAAAAAGTTCCAATAGGATATGTCTGCTTTTGTGCCAATAGATTACAAGTAATTGACGGCCAGGCTATCTACCATGAAATGTTCTGGAGGCGTTTCACCGGATTATGAACTGAATGAGATCGTTTGTGTATAATCAACTGTAACTCGTCAGGGCATCATTATATGGAGCTAGCGTTGATTGTTCCACCAGAGGTGAAGGATATAAGCAAAATAAGAAACCTAACACCGTTGCGATGTATGACATTTGTAGATATTTCATTATCGCATTTGCTATTCTTCAAATAGTCCGGATGGTGCCTCTCTACAGTATATCGTCAGTGGTACATCGGGTTGCAGGTCCCGTGAGATGGCTTTCCCTTTCATTCTTTGGAGATTTTTTAACTATTAAGAGCAACCACGGCTAAAACAGACGTCGCATCCTTCGTAGAAGCAGAAATCACGTCCTCCGAGACAGCCCCTGTTCTCCACATCCCCAATCCAACAAAACGTCCGTTCACAGAATAGTATGTGCCTACGCTGCGACTCTTGCGGACTTGGCGCTCTTCATCCCAGAACCATTCAAACGACCGTAAGTCCAGCAGGGGCTGCAGCATATACTGTGTTGCCGCCGAATAAATGTCTTGGCTGTCGAGGGAGGTTAAAATCGATTGCCATTGCTCGATGGAGATATTTCTTCCCAGCAGGATGCCGGCTCCACGAGCATCCCGGGTCGGTTTGAGGATATAATGGTCTTTGATCATGGGGTTAGTGTGGGTGTGTTGGAGTAGGGCTCTGAAAGCAGCCGTTCCGGGGAGGATGGCAGGGATGATATGTTCACGCAGGGTCTGTGCTTGTGCAGGAGACAATACTCGTTGCGTATATACGAGGCTGTCTAGCTCCTGGAGGATAATGCCTAGGATGCGTTTATCGTGGGCGATGAACACACTCCGGGGGTCATTCCTGCAGCACGCGGCAATGTGTCGCACCATCTCGGGAGATAGAGAGAACAGCTCAAAGTCGTAGAGCTGCAGACCCACCTGGTGTACTGTCTCTAACATCTCACCATCTACCTCCAGAATGGAACCAGGGGGAGTTTTGACCGTGGGATCTGCCCCCCAGACACAGCATAAGGTGAACCCGGTTTGGCTGGTTGCACTGGGCACTAGACGGAGGTCGCCTGGCCTAACGGTTCTCGGTCTCCTCCCGGTTCGCTCTTCAATAAAACCAAACAGAGGGCTATCGGACGGAAAACCTTGACTTTCCTTGACAAAGTGAACGGGGCTATCCGGGTCAAACAAGTCAAACAGGCTCTCTAGGAGTACATTGTACTTCGTGGCAGGTTCGATCAAGGGCGTATTCCATGTGCTGCCGCTTAGTGCCTCGTAGGCCGTTGCAACGTAGTGGAGAAAACTGATGGGAAACCGGCCGTTGATTTCACAGACGCGAAATTCTGGGATTTCACGGTCTGTGACTGGGAGCAAGATATCTGGTCGTAGATTACCCTGGTGGCCATGGAAGGGTGGCATGATACCGTGTGCAGTCGCTTCATCTACCCACTGCAAGAGTTCCTCGACATGGGGTCCCAATGGCATTCGACTTGGTAGATCAGCCTCCTTGTCTGTCCACCATCTTTCGATGATGTTATTCAGAGCAATGGCCAAGGCTTCATTGAAGGTCTCCAGGTTCTTCACAAACTGCCATGGTAGGAGCGCTGGGTGGGGATTAAGTCTTTTCGCGGCCCCGGGAAATGCACCATATGGACTAACAGAGTCCGCCAATCTCTCTTGCAGTGCCTCGCTTTCTCTAATACGATATTCTGGATGAACTTGTTCTGGCAAGACCGGGTTTTGCGGATCCTGAGTGCTAGCTAAGGAGATTTGGAGCAGCCACGGAGACCTTTTGGCGAGAACATTGGGTATCTCTTTTTCAACGATCGCCATTGACTGTATCATCAGTCAGTCTATCGCTGCGCTATGAATGGAAAACATGGAAAACACTCACATTTTTGAAACAGGCACCCATCCTCATTCCCAGGAAGCTTTTGAAAGGCATCGTCTCTTTGGTAAAGTACCGATACATCTCCCTTCCAATTGGGCTATCGTCTGTCTTGAGAACCTCGGAGAGCGTCGACCGCACGATGGCCCATCCATCTTCTGCACCTTCCAGACCGAGTGCATATAGCATGTAGCCGACGTTGTTCTGCAGAAGTGCATGATGGACCCTGTTCCACACTTGGTAGAGGTCATCCGTGCCCAGCCCAGTAGTATCTATATCAAAGCCCTGCTTTTTTAGCGTCGGTCGATGGAGTTTCACTCCAGCTAAGTCTCGGACTGCAAATCCTTTTATCGTCTTCGACTTGCGACAAATGCGGGCGACGGTATTCTGGGCGTGGAGCTCGCATCCAACGCTATGATGCAGTAGCGGATCCAACCCGAGACGAAAAAGGCATTTAGAATAGCTATTCCCCATGTCAGCTGAGCCTTCAGATTCTTTGAGATAAACAAACCTCGTGAACCACTTTTTCTTTTCAGCTGTCGTTTTCAGGTCAAAGAGAATTTCTGCGTACGTCTGTTGACCACCGAGTGGCTTTTCCATTAGTGCGGAGACCAGGATGAGTGCTTCATCATTTTCTTGTGCTCTCGCCTCCAGGTTCTCCCGAAGAATACATGTCAGGTGGCGAGCTTCACTCTTGTCTTCTTGACTCCCAGTCACAGCAGCCACCTCTCCGAACAGCCAGAGGTCCTCCGGAAGAATCTTCCTCATGAACGCCGTCATCTCCGTTGCTGCAGCCGCAGACCAACACGGCAGAACTCGTAGCGCGGAGGTAATCTGACATGCGAGAGAGAATTTCACGTCAAATTCATAACCACGGATGGAGACTGTTCGGATAGCGGCATGTGCCTTCGCAGCAGCGAGGACCGACTTGACATGCTCTGCCTCTGGGAAATGATGGAGCAGCGCTGGCAGTTGGCGGGACAGACAAGGGACCATAACCAATTCATTGAAGGCCGGGGGTGCCACTCCAAAGCCTTTCACCAGAGACTGGGTTAACTCTTCGAATGGTCCATACATATGAACTGAAGACCGTGGGAGGACGACCAGCGAGATACCCGGATTGAGCATATCAGGTAGATCCTCTGGCCCAACTGGTTCTATGAGCTTGTCGGCGAAGCATGTTCGATGGAACTGTATTTCAAATTAGCAATTATTGATTAAATCTGCCATAGAGTCTGGATTTACCGGATGAGTCGGATGTCCTAAGATGAGCGAAGCTTCCCATTCCAGAAAGGAAGAGTTAAGATCTAGCACTGGCTTGGTGGCAGCGATTTCCAACCATTTACCTTCTCTTCGTTAGTCAATTAACATCGTTATGGACTAGCATGTACAGACTTGACATCGCAGCGCAATTGCGCAATTCGCGCGCAATTGCCTCCTTTGTTGGCTCATCACAAGCGAACCCTGGCGCGAAGAATTCAAACACAACTCCAGGATCAATTTCTTTAACCCCCTGGTCTACACCATTCAAAAAGACGGGGACTTGGAAATCATTCGGTCGCCAATTATGACGTTTGAGAGGGGTTGTGAAAGAAATTAGATCCACTTGAGCTCGTCGCGTGGTGTTGTTTCCTTTTGTCGTCAACACGCAGGACCATTTCTGAGATTGAGAAGGTGGTGGAAGTAGGTGAAAGCTCACCAGTCCTTCGTTGGCGAGTTGCGCAAGAAGACGCTTAGTAGTCTCAGCCATGGCTTGAGACTGGGATGTTGCAGCGACTGTCATGTTGTTTGAGAAAAATGAGCGCATAAAATATGAAAAGAGAGATCCCGAACATGGAGTAGTATGTTTTATTGTTGTCCATTCCACAAACACAGCTGACTGACCCAATGTACAAAATTAATACAATACTGTGTATTGATTAGGTATTGTTTTCCCTTTCTAATAACTATTATGTTCTCTCATCAGTAATGTCACCATTATTAATGAGTTCGTTGCTTTGTAAACTTGACTTGATCGATCAGGTCCGCTGATCGCTCTCAAGCCTCTGCTCTTCACCGCTAGATCCATGCAGCATTTACTAATGAATTGGTTAGACTTGATCTATCAGATCTGCAGATTGCTCCCAATCCTCCGCTCTTCACCGCTAGGTTCGATGCACCATCTGCAATGTACAATGTTTACCGAATCAACTTGTCAATCGCCGGAAGATCTCGTTCGATAACAAATTTTTATTCTCAAAACCTTTAATCTATATAAAAAGTCATATCCGTAAAAACGTTGGTTATGGGACCGTCTTCAGCATCCTCTTCCACCACCTTAGCAGCGCAGGGCACTTTTATAATATTCTAGACGTCTGCAAGAGGCCCAGCTTTGGTACTAATTCTACCCTGGCTATCCCCCACGTCCAACTAGCCAATTACTGGAATCGCGACAAGGCGCTTAGATACCGAGTGGCCCAGCATATTATTCGAATCAGTGTTGGGCAGGAAGACAGCAAAAAGCTTGTCCAGACCGTATCTAGATCTCTCCATGAGATCGTGAAACTCGAGTCTAAAAGCGTTTGAATTTTTGACATGGCGAATCAATACTGATAGTTGGACCTTATGCCGAATCTTTACTTCTCCACTTGTAAAGAATAATCCCTCAACGTAATCCTAAGCAGTACCCACAATACTATCAATATTACCATGTGCCAAGTCCGTATAAGGGCGTCGATCAACACTCCTTGCATGATAGCTCCAAGTAGAGGTTGCACTATGTTCCTGTAGCTGAAGCCCAGCGTCAGCTGAAAAGGTGAATACACATGGTAATGTTAAATGGGGCAATTGGAGATTCTTCGGCTTCTTTTTTTTTTTGTTTCTCACCCCTCACAACAATAAAAAAAATTCTTGCTACAGCAGCACCTTTATTTCCTTGTAGCACAAGTGACAACAATGCCTTCCATCCAAGCTCTAAAACACGTGCCTGGTTCTGCCGTAGATTTTGGGGTAGCAATTGACAATGTGGATCTGGAAAATCTCACCGGTAGGTACCTAATTAATCACTGTTGGCACCTCGTAAGGTGCAAAGCTAAATCCTTTAACAGATGACGACTTCGCCATCGTCCACGACGCTCTATACCACCACCATCTCGTCTTATTCAAAAATCAAAAAGATCTCTCCCCAAAAGCGCAGTACGAGCTGACCAAACGTTTTGATCCGGCGTCCGAAAAGTACGGCCATGACAAAACCGCTGATAATTCTATCCATGAATACTTCATGGGAGTCCCCGATCAGCCCCAGGTCCAGATAAAGGGCCACGGCTTCATCAAGTCTTTCATGGGCCTCCAAGACATCAAGCTGTGGCATCCTCATCACAGCCGTACCCACCGTGAGGTGATTTCTGAGGAGCAAGGCGACGCGTACACCCGCTTCAATCGCTGGCATATTGATGCGGCGTTGTATGGTCTCAACCCGCCAAAAGTCACTACTCTTATGGCGGTGCAAGTGCCCAAAGGTCGTCGCCAGACGATCTTGTACGGGGATGGTTCCGGGGAGGAGCTGGATGCACCCCTTGCAACCACAGCTTTTATCTCTGGTCAGAAGATGTTCAACATGCTTTCTCCGGAAGATCAGGAATTCATCCGTACAAGCAAAGCGGAATACGCACCACATCCGTAGGCCACCTCAAACTATAGCTACACGTAATGAAAACACACAAGCCACTGACCCAAAAAAAACCAGATACAACTGGGTCAAACCCGCCAAAATGCATCCCACCGGCCTCAGCGTCTACACCGAAGGCCGTGAGAAGCTCGAATCCGAGCTGCCCCCTATCGATCCTTCCAAGATCCAAATTCTCCCCATGGCCTGGAAGAACCCGGTAACAGGTAATCTATCTCTGCAGGTCCACCCAGCTCCAATCCGTAAGATCCATTGCGCCGATGGGAGCATCATTGACAATTTAAAGGAGGTTCGAGATCTGATGTACCGTCTTCAGCGTCCTGCGATCAGTCCACAATATGTGTACGCGCATGACTGGGAAGAGGGGGATATGGTGCTGTTCAATAACCATGGCCTGTTGCATACAGTGGTGGGATCGTTGAAACCGGATGATATAAGAGTTTTTAGACAGTGTAATCTGGCTGCGTCGGAGCCGCCAGAGGGGCCGTGATTGTTTCCTTAATTTTTCCCTCGGTATCTGTAGTATACATCTAATTCTTGAATGCGATGCATATAAGAAAAATGGCACCTAGAATGCTGCTGACCGGGAATCTACATCATACAAAGCGATCTCTCGTACTATGGCAGGTATTACTTACCCAGTATAACAGCTTACACAAAGCGAGACTCATCGCTCGAGGCTTTCGTCAACGCATAGTACGTCCCTTAACTGGTGTCACCACCTACACTCTTCGATTGTTTCCATTACATACACAGTATTTTACGATACGTAATGTTAGACATGAGCTTTATCCGTAATATATACTATTCAATCCCGGGACAGCTATTTAAATGCAGAGTAAAAATTCTCCGGTAGTAGAATCTTGGCATCGAAACAGAGATGTCGCCGGTTCTGACTTTCATTATGAGGGTAGAACGTAGCCTAGCTTAACCTTAGCATGAAGACTAGTCATATCAATGCTTTGCTTCTGTATACTCCTGGAGAATTTTCTCCGTCACAGGCTCTCGTTGGGGAGAGTACAGCTGTGACTCATCTGGACTCGCTCTCGTGAGCCAACGATTAGCTATTATCGTGGTTCTTGGATGCTGGGCTTTTTCATGAGAGGATGTGAGTAATTTGGTAGTCTTGCAGGTATTCTAGGACGACTCCTTTGTTTTTCTGGCTGTCATGTTATCCCGTAAATGGCTCAGTTGCATCGCACATACCCCCTGGTTGCCTCAACCATGATAAATTTTACTTACTTAGGCTAGGGCAGTCGAACTTGTCGTTTTTGGAATTACTGTTCCCTGTCGCCCTGGAATCCAAACATGCATCCATGCCTATGCTTTGATGATGCGGCCTGGGAAAAGAGTGAGCAGGTCGCTAATGCCTGGGTGCTCCAATTTTGTGAACCTGAAATCTAAGACCGATCGGCCAATTTTTACTTGTGACACCACAGGATCGGCGACCCTGAGATATTTGATTTTGTGGAGAAAGGCGGTTTTAACATCTCCTTTCAGATGAAGTACAAGAATACTATTGTACATCCTCCGCCATCATACGTTTCCCCCCACCCCGGAGAAAAGTTCCGTAATGAGGTCGCCACAACGCGATGCATCCAAGACCAGAGTTCGATCACAACTCCTTTGATCGTTCACTTCAGTACTAAAAAGGAGAGTCCTCTGGCAGTGGGTCCTTCCATCATTATGGAATATATCGACCGTCACATAACCATGTACGATGTTCTCAACACACCGGGTATTCCGAAATCAAAACGTGGAATCGTTGACCCCAATATCTGTGAGCTCAAACTGGAGGCTCTCTATGGAGAGCTGGGAGACGTCCTGAAACTTTCTCGTCTATACCTAGCTAAGATAGGCTTCCTGAACCAAATTGATGATTTCACCAGGGAAGAGACATATCGCCTTCTGTCAATGCCTATGAATGAGCTCCTTCGTTTGGGGTCGCTTCCTCAATCGAGATTACCACAAAGCACATTCAACACAGCATCCTCATATTTTTAAGCCCTGGCAGAGCTACACATTGCCACTCAGCCGATGACTGTCGGCGGAAGTTTACCGCTAGATATCTCTTCCGCAGATTGCTCAGATCAAAGCTTCACACAACCGTGGATATCATTTGACAAAGACCCCTTCCACATCTGGTGTGACGATTTCCGGCCCGCCAGTATTCTTCTCAATGACGCTTTGAAAATTGTGGGAGTTGTGCACTGGGAGTTTACGTACGCAGCTCCAGTCGGATTTTCCCACGCACCACCACGATGGCTTCTGCTTGAGAAGCCTGAATACTGGCCTCGAGGCCTTGATTACTGGTGCAAGGATTATGGGCGACGTCTTCAGACATTCCTTACCTCTATGATCCAACGTGAAGACGAGGCGGTCAAGCAGGATTGGCTGAAGAACCACGAATGGCTCCTTGGTCCAATGCGAGACAGCAGGGAGAGCGGTGGCTTTTTGGGTCATATACGCTGCAAGGAATACTTCGCATTTGATGCGACATACTGGCAAAAGATTGATCAGCGATTCTTCGAACCGGCTACTTGTGTTGTCGGTGATATTTGGAAGCAGAGACTTGAGACTTGGCCTTTTGGAGTCCGAAGAGAAAGATGAGATGGAGAAATACGTGACGCTCAAACTTGAATACATGAAAACCAGGGTCTTAGCATGGGAACCGGACGAATACAGCAGACATCGTCATGTGTCTGGTTAATAAACCGACCGACGGAGATAAATATGACTGTCAAGTTGAAGTTGTGGAGTAGCTGGGTGATGGTCTGTCAAATAGCTTCGAGAAGTTGTCGGTTTAATTTACCCGGGCCTAGACATCTGTTATGCTGCTGTACAAATGGCCACCCTCAATGCAGATAATCTTCGGTCACTTTCGTCTTCATGCCCTTAAACTATTGTGTCGATGGCCAAGCGAGATACTCATTGCTTACATTGCTCATTTACTTGAACAATCTGGATTCGTCAGGCGAGCCAGATGCCAACTGATCGAAGTCTAGAGCCTGAGGCACCAATCTTAAATACATAAACCGTACACACGTACACATATGGCGTCTACGGAGCATTCACTAATCGGTACTCCTTGGCACCTTACTTCTTCTCGTTGATGCCAACAGAAGATAACACGTGGGAGCGCTGGCCAAGAAAGTGTTCTTGGCGGACGCATAATATTTCCCTGGCATGCTTGGCTGTCCGCCCCCTCACCTTGGCAAGAAGTCTTAAGCTTGCCACAAAAGTGCTAAGTTTTCCGCACGTGCTCTTGATACTGAACTGTTATTTGGTAATCATTATTAGCTTGTGATAGCGTTATTTCCACAATTTACGAGCGGAAGTGAGCGAACTCCGGCGGCTAGGATTATCGGAACGGACTTAGAACGCGACAAATATGTATGTGGGGAGCTAACGGCATAACGGAAATTCGATCGTTAATCTACGGCGCCTCGCGAAGTTCCTCCATCTCGATCTACTTAAAGAGCCCTTGTCCCTTATCAACGTGCCACCAGCTCGATTCTGTATAATTTGGCTTGGCAATCACCATGCGGGCTGCTTCAATTGCTGTCATAGCTTGCCTTTTCTCGCGCACGATTGCCCAGACGTTCCAGCGCCTAGGTGGTTGCCCTGAATTAGGATGTGTGTTCCCACCAGATCAGTATGTATTACTTCTATTCTACTTGTTATGGTTAGGAAGGCTGCTTGACACGGTTATTCCCATATCCCTTGGAAACTGCCTGGACCCTATCCCATCACTCTGCCACATTTTATCAAGACTTCCTTTTGTAGCTCTTGTCTGCGTGGGTTGTCTGGGTGATAGGCACCAGGTCACTCCCATGCCCACGTGTATCGTGTTACGGCCATGATTTCTCTATTCATAGGTCTCTTTGTTTTCTCTCACCCTGGCCCCATTACCTTTCACCATAACTAATTGCGCGCGTTTTATAGGGCCGATTTTCTACCTGGTCAATACTTTGATATTCGGCTCGAAGTACATTCGCCTATCAATGGCTCCGAACAGCGTGTTGGAGGACCAGATGAGAACTTTACATTCACTATCGCAAAAAAAGGCGGCAACCCTGTTCCAGCTACCGAGTTCTTCAATGTCGAGGATCCAAAGCTGGAGAGTTGGAACTTCACATGGTATGAAGGTGAGATATTCCTGTCACTGATTATCTTAATTGAACCACTTTGTAACCGGCATAGATCTGTTTGCGCAAGACATGAACAAGCCATCTGTGGTCAATGCCACAGCCAAAGCATTTCGCCGAGTTGCTTTGTATGAGCCAGGGGAATATGAAGCTACTTTGACGTACTATGGGACTCAGAAAACTGTGGCGAACTGGCTCATTCGTGATATCCCGACCAAGCGGCGAGCGAAGAACGTCATTCTGTTCATTGGCGATGGCATGACAACAAATATGATCACTGCTGCACGTCTGCTAGCTCATCGCAGCATCAATGGGAAGTACATGACAAAAATGGCACTGGACAAGTTTCCTGTGCTTGGACACCAAATGACGCACTCGATGGACTCGTTCATTACCGACTCAGCAAACTCCGCGACAGCCCTCTACTCAGGCCACAAGACTACCGTCAATGCCTTGAATGTCTACGTCGACTCCTCCAGTGATCCGTTTGATGACCCCAAATTTGAGACCATTTCGGAAATATTCCGCCGTCGTCACGCGCATGCCGGTGTCGGAATTGTCTCCACCGCGTTCTTGGCAGATGCCACCCCTGCTGGATTGGCAGCTCATACCAGCGACCGTGGAGAGTATGACCATGTTATCGGCGCTTATTATGAAGGCCTGACCAAGTATGAGTGGACAGACTGGGATGGTCCCGACGTCCTCCTCGGAGCTGGGGCCGAAGACTTCCTTGAAAGCGAAGCGAACCAACGGGATTATTACAAGCTCTTTTCCGAGAAGGGATATAATGTTGCCTGGAACAACACCGCATTGCACGATGCCCCACTGGATGAGAAACTACTGGGTGTTTTCCAAACTTCTAATCTTGCTACTTGGTTGGACCGCAATGTCTACCAGGCCAACCTTCACAACCAAAGCAATTATCCTGACGGTTCGGACCGTGATGCAGATGACTTGCCCGGCCTCAAAGACATGACTCTCAAGGCAATCGATGTTCTCCATGAACGACACGGTGATCAAGGCTGGTTCCTCATGTCTGAGGCCGCCAGTATTGACAAGCAGATGCATTCACTGGACTATGATCGGTCCCTGGGTGAGCTTTTGGAGCTCGATGATACTGTTCGTGCGACGATTGAACGCCTCGAGCACCTCGGAGAGCTGGATGACACCCTTATCATCGTAACAGCTGACCATGGCCACGGATTCGATGTCACCGGCTCTGTCGACACTGAGTACATGGATGCGCAAGATGAAGACCGAGACAAGCGCAAAGCCATTGGCTACTATAGGGAGTCAGGACTGTCGCAATACACTGTGGGCGGTCCCAATGCCTTGCGGTACTCGGAAGGTGTTCACTTTCCTGCACGCTGGGATCCGCGGTATACACTTCACTCAGGCGTTGTTGCCTTCCCCGATCACCGGGAGAACTACCAGGTTCATAGCGAGGGTCCGCGAACCCCTGCCGCTACATCAAAGGATAAGAAGAATGGGTACTATGCTGCCTACAAGGATGCAGTCACTGGCTTTCTGGTTAACGGAACATTGCCAGTCGATGCGGGCCAGGGAGTCCACTCATTGACTGACGTTCCCGTGTTTGCACAAGGCCCATGTCAGGAGTTGTTTGGTGGAGTCTACAATTCTATTGATATATTTTTCAATATGGCAGAATGCCTGGGTTTATCGGAGACGAAGCAGAATAGCCATGGTCACAGTGGAAAAAAGGGGGGGAAATAAACTGCGCCTTGGACATTGAGCGACAGATCTAGTCGCGACTGAGCATGAATATGTACAATGGTTGAGCTCGCCTTCACGGCTGATAATGTACTCTATCTTCAAGAAATCTTACAAAATGTCTATATAACATCACATGTACCTGAACAAATTTATAGAACAAGGTGTCAAAAGCCGTGACACCTTATGACTTTTATCATCATTTTGGCCAACTTCAAGTAGCATTGTTGGCACATGTCCAGCTGGACTTGGATGAACTCTCGTTGATGGCCTTGCCTGAGACATAGAGTCCCAATCCACACTGAGTTGATTAGCAGACAATCCTGAAGTGCAAATAAGATGGGCCTAACTCACAATGGCACAGGCGATAGCTAGGATTACCAAGTTCACAATGGTCAAGATGATCTTTCGCGGTGTTGAAACCCACTTTCCTTTGTTCATAACAAGCCAGAAGATGGCAGGCAGTCCGTCTGCTCCAAGTTAGCACCCTTCCATGCATTGTCTCTTCCATTTTCTCGGTATACTTACAGCTGAACCAGCTTCCAAATAGAGCACTCTGTAGCGACATTAGCAACGCACATGACCTTGATTGGGGGAACGCACGATCAGACTCAACAACTCATTGAACACCGGAATTGACTCTGCGATAATCCATGCAACGGTCCACGTACTCAGGCCAATCGCGACCCAAGTTCCTGTGGCCAAAAAGCTCCTCTGGTGCATATGGTGGGAGCGCTCGCCTCGGAAGATTCTCACGTAAATGTATTTGCACGCAACGTGACCGAAAACCACACCGGCAACAATGACCTATCCGAAGTCAGCACATAATTTTCAACCAAGTTCATATGGAAAAACGCACTGTTGGAATTGCTAGGCCGTATGCAACTCTCTTCATGAGGGGACCGGCCGAAGATAGAGCCGGGGATGATACATCTGGGCCCGCATAGCAGTAGATGACCATCGCAGTCACGATATACATGATGGTATCCACGACCTGAAGCATGGCCAATGATTTCGGGAATTCCTTAGGGTCCTGCATCTCTGACATGATGCCGAAGAAAGAGACGTGGGCGATGAAGGCAAAGACGATGTTTGTCACCGCGAGGAAGGCGTCTGCAAAACTAGGAGATGTGGTAATATCGTTTTGGACGTTATCGGGAGCTTGAACGCCGATGGCAACCATGGTGACAATCGTGGCAATCAAAATACTAAGGGCGGAAATAGTGGACATCCAAAAGACCTTCTCTGCTGTGCGCGGAAGGGCCCCGAGGAAGCTGACAATCAAACCAACAACCCCAAACACGATGGTGCAGGTGCCGTGGTTTGTGATTGTGTTAAGCAACACAGAGAATGTGAGAATGTGGCTGGCCATCAAGAAGATAATGAACAGCAGCTGGCCGACATAGAATACCTCGCGCCCGATGGGCCCTAGAAGGAGTTCTCCGGCATCGCCCATGCTATGCACCTGGGGATACCGCTGCTTGAACTGGCCCATGATGTACCCGGTGTACCATGATATCGCAGATAAGCCAAGGATAATGAGAAATGCCCTAGTATCATATTAGTGGACGTCCTGTGCCGCCTGCGCACAAAGATTGCTTACGGGACAATTCCGAGAGTTGCGACAGCGGATGGAAGGGATAGAATTCCCAGGGAGATATTTTCGGCGACCATCACTATAAGAGTAGTTTAGAATATAAATCCATGGCGAGAGACTTGTCTCAATTGGAGGCTCTCACGCATTCCAGCTTGCCTGTTAGTTTGTCAGCTTGCGCGCTTAAACGATATATGCAGATAATAGTAGGATAGGCACTAACCACCAAGGCATGATACGATACTTCACTTCCCCAGATTCTTCATTTCCGAATGGATCCTCCGGCACTTCCTCATGCTTGACCTTTTCCATCTCTGCCTCGTCGTCGACTTCAAATCGCTGCGGGATAGGATGGGGAGCTTCGGGGACACTCATGTTGGCGGGTGAAAATGCAATTGAACGAAGAATTGACCGAGCAGACGAGAAGTAGAAGAGACAGATTCGTGCAACGTGGAAGTGGCCAAAGATGAAGCGACCAAAATTTGCTTCCTTGGCGCTTGCCCAGGTGGCAATGGGGTCGGACCGGGGTAGTATTTGATAGGCGATTTATAATAACGTTTAATAAATCAGTGACGTACTCCGCAAGTGTGGAGAGAGTTCAATTGAATAAGAATCCAGTCAGATATGCCAATGAGATGCAATATCGCATCGTAAAACGCGCCTATGTGTGTTCGTTGAGTCTCGGGTAATGCTTACCTAAGCCAAATATCTTCACCGACCGCATCTCGGAAATGTGGGGTATTCGGCCTCAACCAACCAACCCCCATAGTCACGCCCGGCAACTTGCATCTTCCCGGCCCGGCGCACCCGGCCCGGCGCAACCCCCCGGGGCCCCTCTACGTGTTCGATAGCATTAGATAGAGGGTTTTAGTCAAGGTGATTATCTGTTTGGTATACCCCGAATCCCCCACAACTCCATCTGCGCTAAACTCCAGGCTTCATGTCACGGTCCTCGAAGACTTTGGGAAGCCTTTGATGTGAGTGGGTAAGAGGGCTTTGATTGGGGAACGTTTAATGTTCTGGAAGGACTATGGGTGGGAATTTCCGGTAGCGAACCCCCCTTTTTGACCCCGTAGTTTACGGACATGTAAGTGCCCGATTTTCAAAGTTGCCCGAAACTGGGGCATTGAGGAGATTGTTCCGAGGCTACCGAACAGACCCCGGAAAATTCCCTCACTTCCAACTCCTGCCAAGAGAGATAATCAATAGGAGTGTGGATCGTGCGAGTGTGCAGTACATGTAAATAGTCTTCCGGGGTTGCCTTATTGGAACTCTGATGAGCCTCAACCAATTGAAACAGCCCTTGACTAAGCGATTTTGCCACAATACAATGCTCACTTGAATGCTTCTCTTGCGGTGTAGTATTACCTCGCTCATAATGATATCCGGAAGGTTAGGTCTAGATCTTGACTTGGCATAAGCCATCTGAGACAAGTCCAGTCTGTCATCGGTTAGCAATGAAAACCGACCTTGGATTGTGATAGGACCGGGAGATCAAATCAGTAAAGATTATTGAATGTGCCGGTGTTTCCGTATAGTTTAGATTTATGTGTAACCAGCCTCGTTGAACGCACTTTCTCAATACTCGAGAATATCAAAATGTAGGTTAATCTTCGTCTTACCTGGTATAGGAAAACAGGTTAGTGTTTTATGTGTGATAATTTATGAGATAATTATAATTTTCGACCTCCAACAGATCGCTCGTGGATATATATATCCCACGCCTATCTAAGGTACCTGAAATCAAATCTGGGCCCACGCATAAATAATATTCATTATAGAAAAGATCTGTAAACGTCAAAAAAAAATCACCATTGCCTCACATATAGTTTCGTTTATTGGCAAAGTCCGGAGAAGTAAAGAAGATCGATAAGTTCTCCACGAGTAGAAACGAGGTGGGCCTGAGCCTTGGAATGGCATGAGGTCCATAGCATTGTATAACCTATGTACTTGCCAGAAGCACGATTTCACATGGAACCCCTTTAGCGAACCAGTGACTAAACAGCTGGGCGAGAAGAGAACCAAACTACTTGGATTGAAGCCAAGATAGCAGAAATACGGACGGAAGAGTCGGTCATCGACGAACGGGGATCTGAAACATTGGTACCCACTGCAAACACGTTTGACAGAGTACGTATGACCATCATCTAGTTACAGGGGGAAAAGCCCGCCCTTGACAAAGACGTTTGTCGACCACAGCCCCAGCTCAGTGGATTGGAGAAGGAACAACCAGCTGAGCAGCGGTTTGACGGTCGGGGTCATCGTGGATCGTTAGAAATAAACCTTCTGTCCCGTGGCTCATCATCTAAGGTACATGAGAGCTTACCAGCCAGGAGATGGTCTCGTATGGGGACCCTGATGGTGTCCTTGAAGCCAACGACGGGCGGAGGACAAAAAAATAAAATGCGACTACAGACTTTCACCCATGTTCAGGCCTCTTGCTTACCTTAGTCAGATAATTGACATAGTAAATGTATCATATACATCGCATTTCTTAACCGATATTATAGCGACTTCTTTTTCTATTTTCTTCTTTTTCTCCCCTCCAGTTAAAATTAACTTCTTTATTGGGATCCAAGTACAAACCGATTAAATAATTTCCATCTATTGATTCATGTTAAAGACATGAATACTATTTAAACAAAGGATTAGCTTTTCGAGCATACTCAGAACACTGATGTAAGGCAGGAGGAGAGCAGGAAATAGAAAAAGAGCAAAAGATCTCAAAAGTTTGGGAGAGCAATCTGCACCCCAGAACGCGATGGAAGCTTCAATAAGAACATAGTGAGGCACCCTTCTCAAACTTCGTCACTGTCCTGACTACAATGTTACCAAAATGAGGGATGGTTAATAAAGCTCTAGTCATTTACCGGAGAACTTCAAACGCCCCACAGCAGGATATACTAAGAACCTACTCCCTAAGCGGCCCAGTCGGTTAACAGTGACATGAAGTATGGCATAAAACAGGCTCTCTGGCTTAATAGTCTATATGGGGCCCTATGGAGGCGCACTAGAAGTTGGTTTCTCGATGCGAACAATCTACCAGTTTTCTTTTTATGTGCTTCACATTCATAAAGCCAATACGGTCTTTAGCCAATACGGTCTTTCTTGAAGAAGACCCTTCATTCAAATGGCCGATATATTTAACTTGATGTCATAGGGGAGAAATATGATTTGGCCCCAAGCTCCAAGCCCCAAGCAACCCCCCGCCAAGACACGAGCGGGGGCGGGGTGAGAAGACCATTCCAGGTTCCAGGCAAACAAGTAGTGCAGGTCACGAAATAGCCCACCGCTATCTCTAAAAGTCCTCTTGGGAGATTCAACCCGGGATTTGTTGAGCACCAGTAATTGACATGGTGATCTGTGTTGATACCTTTATACTTCATTTAATCAGTTAATCGAATAGCTTTGAGCACACATACAGTGCTGCTTGTAGCATGAGACAGCGGGACAAAAGAAAGTTGCAACAGTCTTGTTAGTTGACAAGACAGATACCAAGGAATAACAGCGGCGGGTGAGGTCCAAGGACATCGGGGAGCCTAAGGCCCCCCAGATATTCGCTTTGGGCCTAGCGTGGTGTATAGAACAATCGCTCCTTTTAGTGTCTTACCCCAGATTTGGCGCATGACTACCTTCGATTCCAACGATCGATGTTGGTCTCACTCAGAATTTGAGTTCCGCTTGGCTTGAGATATCTCAGCCAGATCAAGGTCAGCCTCGTGTACGATCCACATTGTAAGACACTGAGGGGTAAATACGAAGTTGACCATGAGCTGTGTGCAAAACGTGTGTGTATTGCTTGTCATGATGACGCCTCTTCGTATTTCTATGACTTTCACTAAAACTGAGACAACTAGGCATCATGTCCAATCTTTCACCTCGGGTTGGGCCTTGAAAGTTTGTACACGGATTTTGGCTCAACTGTTTCTCGTTACAAACCGAATCTCCCATTCTTTACTCTTGTCCTGTTTCTACCTTCTTCGTGTGAACTCCGGCAGCAGTAATTCTTGACGATCTCACAGTTGCTGCTTATTAGTAAAACCCTCAAAAATATATAAATACATTGAAAGATTGCAAACTGTTGTCAGGAAACTGTACCTACCAACTTGACAAAAACACGGTGAGCTCTCGTGTCAGCTTCGCATGGCATTCTGATGCCAAGGAAAAATATTTGGCACGGGCACTGATTTATTAACAACGTTCAAAATTCACAGACAACGCAAATACGTTACTAGTGTAAATTCGCATGCAGAAATGGAACGGAGGAACTGAGCAGTGTACGCACAGCTCATTGAAAGCAAAATGACGAACTATCATCTCCGGATATCGGGATTGTGTCTCTCAGGATCAGACCTGCTAGCGTTAAAACCGAGATGATCAATCCTGTCTGTTTCAGCAACATGCCACTTAATGGTGGCGCAATGCAATGTTCAGTTATCTCATGTATTGATGTTCTTACCTGTGAATTGCACTACACATGAATATACAAATACATACTAGACATGGTTAGTATCAGCTGCAGTACGTGGCTGCTTCCAACCACGTCATGCAAGATACTTGTCTTACAATGCGAGTATATCCATAAGCTAGGGGGCCCTGGGCTTAGTCCTCAGCTGATCTCGATTCCAGGGCTGTGTGAAAACATAATTTTCTATAGGGCATTGCTTTTTCCTAGACTCGAAACCTCACTTTAAGACCGTATCAAGAGCTGAATATCTAAGAATAGCTTTTTTAGAAAGAAGGCAGCATCCTAGGGCACAGCTCAGTATTCCAGTGGAGCAGGTATAAAGCCTACGTGCTTCCTCCAAGTTGTCGTATACTTTCCATCCAAGAGCACAAGAACTTCCATCTCTTTATTAATCGCCTTGAACAGTCTGTTCTTCCAAATCATACATCACATCCTAATCGAATCTCGTTGAAAATTCTCAATATGAAGTTTACTTTCGCTACTCTTCTCCCATTCATGGCAGTTCTTGCCGCTGCCTCGCCTCTCGAGGCTCGCCAGTGGAGTCAGGTCACTGTTGCTCTTTCCAATGACCAATCTGGAGCATATTCTGGTGTGGCATTCCTCGCAGATGATACCGAAAAGAGCATCCTGTCGCTCTTTGGCAGTACCTCCGTCGGGGCTGGAGGCACCGTTAAGGCAAATGCTGCCCAGCTGACTGCCTTCCCGCAATCAATCAACTGCGTTATTAAGAACAATGGTGCTATCATCGGTACCTTAACTGCTCAGCACACCTATGCTGATCTTGATGGAAATCCCAATGCCGCCGTTCCGATCAATCTGAACAACGCTAAGATCCGCTGCCATGCCTGAGCTTTCTCTCGAACAGATTGCGGAGTCGATTTCAGAGGACAATTATCTAAGACTTGAC